TCTTGGCCACCCTGGCTGGTTAGGCCTAATCTTTCCACATCCTCTGTAAATTACTTCTCTGTGCCTTGGTTTCCTTATCTTTAAAGTGGGGATGAGGTCAGATGCAATTTCAGAGATGTTTTAAGGATTTACCTGTTACCATGTGTTAGACATGAACCGGCTGTCTAGGAATGGGATTTGTGCTTTTGTGGTGGATGTAGTTTAAAGCACACAGATGAAGCAGAGTTCAGGGTCAGGTTTCCTGTAAAAAAAGCTTTGGCCCTGACTGGTATGGCTCAGTGGATTGAGCGCCAGCTTATGAACTGAGAGGTTGCCAGTTCAATTCCTGGTCAGGGCACATGCCTGAGTTGCAGGCCGGATCCCCAGTTGGAGGCGTGCAAGAGGAAACTAATTGATATTTCACTCCCTCTCTTTCTCCCTCCCTTCCCCTCTCTCTAAAAATAAAGAAAATCTTTAAAAAAGAAAAGAAAGACAAGAAAAGCTCTGTTCTGAACAGAAAATTTAGTTTCTTTGCTCTCGAGGGTAGCCCATCTGACCCTGGCTTGAAGGTGAAGAGAAGTGTTACTTTTTGGAGAGTCCATTTGGAAAAAGAAAAAGGCAAAGCTCAGCCTCAAAGTTCCAAAAATCAGTTACCCTGATTTTATCTTGCCTTAGGGATATTGCTTGAAAACTCCAGAATGTCTACTTGGTAGAAAATGTATGGGTTGCTTCCTCTTCGTGGGACAGTGTGTGGCAGGGATCAGGTGTCCTTCTGGGTGACAGGGCTCCACTGTCCTGAGGCCTGAATGACTTGTCTAGGGTGGGGGCCACCCCTGCCTGCCTCTTGCCTGAAGGGCTTCACCTGGCAGAAGCTTGGCTGTGTGATTCCTGATCTGCTTTTTGGGGGAAATCTAATGGTGGAAACCAAACTGTACATCATTCTTTGTCTTCACTTAATGCTACCCTCCCTGCTATGCTCACTTCACCTGCACATCCAGGCTCCCTTTGTGATGAGGCCACTTGTCCCTTTTTGTCCCTTCGGGCATGTTGGTCCCTCTACATGGCCAGTTGCAGGCATTTTTAGTCCCACTGACATACTTCCTTCTCTGTAGTGCTGCCCCTCTGTAGATAGAAGCACTCATCATATCTGTACCTCTCTCTGCCTCATTCACAGCCACTGGATCAAAGGCTCCTAGCCAGCTGGCAAGTTGTTTGTGTCATTTACCCCATCTCCTCTTCCTGTTTCACTGGCCCCCACCCCAGTTTCTGAAGTTGCCCAATAAATGATGACCCCATCCATTTACCTACCCGTGGAAGTCTCTGATGTCCTGTGAATGTTTCTTCCTCCTTACTCTCTCTTCCAGAAGTTTCCTGCAAACTCTCCTGACCTACTGGCTTCTCCAGTTGCAGCCCGCCGTTAGTCTTGGCTGCCTCCCTTCTGGAAAGAGTCACAGAGTGAGGTCACAAACCAGAGGCCCTCGGTGTGTGTGGCCAGCCTTCCCACTTCTCCCACACCTCTCCTGGAGGGCAGGCTGCCCTCACGTCTCCTGCCTCACCCCTGTCCTGATACTTGTATCTTTAACTGTGGTGGTGGGGGGGGTGGTGTTTAAATCAGCTTACTGTTTTATTTATAGTACCTTTATTTTGAAAGGAAACTAAATCAGAAGCCACGCATGGCTATAAGTAAAATTAAATACCATGAGAGCAAAACAAATTGTTAAATTTTGTCCAGATAATAGTGTGTAAACCCTTCCATGGCCTCACCCAAGCCCTGGCATGTAGCTCTACAGGTGGTTGTAGACCCTGCTTCTCTGTGGTTGAGGTCCTGTTGTTGATCAACTAAACCTGAGAGCTTGGGGAGAAATACTCTTCTCCCTTTTCCTTGCCACTCACCTCAGGATGAAGACACCTTTTGTCTGCCAGGCACAGTGCACGGCCAAATGTAGCTTCTGAGGTGTCGCCTACCTCTGTCTCCTCTTCAGGTTGCTCACTACACCATACCCTGTTACATCTTGGGTTACCAGTATCTGTTCTCTATTCTCTGAGCAAGCTTTTTCTGACAGTTCCATGCTTACTTACACCCAGCCTTAGGGTGCTTCTCTCTGGATCTACCTGTAGGTGGCCTCCCTGCTGCTTTCATTATGGTGCATTTTATTCAGATCTTGGTTCTGGGGCCTACCTCTCCTTCTGAGCTCCTAATCAGGGACACTTCATGTGCCTCCCTCCCACCAGTGGCGTCTCTTTCCCTAAAGCCCTGTCTTGATTCATGCCACAGACACTGCTTTTCTGAACTACACATGGCCATTAGTTGTAGCCACACTTTTACCACAAGTACCCCAGTGGATACTTGCTTTGTATTCCCAGAGCCCGAAGCAGACCTACCCAGTTACATCTGCCTTTGGAAACTATTGTAGACCAAATAGTGTTCCTGTGAGCTTGTTATGCTGTTGCCGTGTCTTACCAGGCCCACTGTCAGGTGGAGTTGCTTCAGGGGAATACCCTTCATGATCCTGCACTCCTGACACACTGCTCTCTCAGCTTGGGGATGCTCCCCACAGGCTGCTGCCCAGCTGGTCTTCACCTCCAGTCCCTATCACATTCTCATGTCAGCACTGGGTACCCCTTCCCCATCCTTAGTGCCATGTGTGCAAGAACTTGGGAATGCGGGAAGCAGCTTGGCACCCACAAAGCCCTTCCTGTTAGTGTTCTGCTTGGTGGATAGCTGTTCTCCAGTAGAGCACACAGCCTTAGAGCTTGGCTGTCTTAGGAGCCGCATGTCATCGTGTGTCGTCCACCCCCCACCCCCCGCCTTTGAGGCTCAGGAGTACTCTGGGAAGGTGCAGACTATAAATTCTTGCCTGGTGTCTTAGACACAGTTGGACCTTATTAAGTACTTAGGTTCAGCATGGGATTGCAAGACCACCTCAGGGCACACAACTCACCTGCTGTAACACACTTTCCATCTAGTGCCTTGGGTGTCTCCATGCAGGTGGCACAAGTGTGTTTCTCTGCAGTGTGGTCCTTTCCTGTAAGCTAAAGGAATTAATGAATTATTCAGTATTTTTTAAATGGTTGACATCCCATCTCTAAATAGGCAAAAGGCACTGTTAATCTCTTTATTGTTTGGTGGAAAGGATAATAAAGAACAATCCTTCCTCTTAAAGCAAACATGGGTTCAGTTTTTATACTGAATATTTAAGATTCAGGGTCTTATACACGGTGGCCTTGGGCTGCTCCCACATGGGTGCCCTCCCTGTGGCGGCCTCTTCCCTGGACCAAGCAGCATGCTTTCCTCATGTTCTCTGGCCAGGTGATAGCTGTACCTGCGGTTGACCAGAGCATTGTGGAAGGAAGGCCATGTCAGTTTCATCAGCCCTCAGACTCATCCTGAAACCAGAACCCCAGTACTGGGGACACATGGCTGGGATCCACATGTGGGGTGGTCAGCCTGCCTGCCTCAGGAGGTCCAGCTCTCCACAGCCCCACAGAAGACTCATCACTGTGTTGCTTTTATATATCAAGCTTTCCCCTGGTGCTTTTAAAATTTGATCATTTGCCAGAAGTGCATTTATAGAAAACCTTTGTGGGAGCTTTGGTTTAAATTACACCCAGACTGAATCATAAAGTAATTCATCAATAGCTAGAGTGCCTGGCATGTGCTAAGTGTGCTCCAGGAAGAAAGCCATGACAGAGCCAGTCAGCTTGCCCTGCCTTATTTTGGCCCCCGTTTCTAAGTCCTTGCCTGACTGACTTCTGCCAGAGAGGTTGTTCTCTCATCCCCACTTGGGGGTATTAGTGGAGATGCTCCTGTGATGCAGGCAGTTCCTAGCCAACAGACACAAAAAGAATGCAGATGGTCAGCACACGTGTGAACAAATGTTTCTTCTCATTAATAGAGTGTGGGAACTCTCAGCACTCTTGAGTAAGGGGTGGGTTTGGCAGTATAAACGTGTACCCCTGACCTGTGCTTGTCCCTTTAGAAGAACTGAACAGATGCACAAACTTGGCGCTTGTAAGGATGCTTTCAGCAGAATTTGGTGTGGCCTTAAGCAGGGGTGGTTCAGGTGAGAGGAGTCCAGAGGATAGGGTGCTCAGCCAGGCACTGAACTGGGAGGGAGGTCCTCACACTACTCCCTTCCCCCATGCAGGTCATGGGGATGTGCCTTTCTGTATCCCTATAAGTAAGCTTTGAAAAGCAAGTTAGTGCAATAAAATGGTAGGCCAAGTATGAATTCATTATTGTATTATCAGCAGTTCCTTGTGGGGATTTCTTTAATCAGCAACCATGTATTATATTAAGTGGCCAGAAGATGTCCTTAGTAAGTAGGAGGCTTTGCCTGAAACACTCAGCAATGCACAGGTGGCCAGACTTCCTACTCCTCCCTGCCTGGCCTCCACTCACCAAATGAAACAACTGGCTTGGTTCCATGGTTCATGAGTCACAAATAAGAACAAGAATTTTAATGTAAATGACATTTTGGGGAATCCCCTCCCTCCCTCCCTCTCTCCCTCCCTCTCCGTCTCCCTTTCCCTCTCCCACTCCCACTCCCACTCCCTGTCCCCTAAAAGCTTTCAGATGTTACGAAAGCCTGGTTTGTTGCTTATTGTCCCTCCTTCTCCAGAGCTTCATAGAACTATAGCCTCTGCCTGTGGTTCTGTGGGGTTTTTGTATGTTTGTTTGTTTTTGTTTTTGGTACTCCTGCTCTTCTCTCTCTAGAGGTTTCTGTTTGCCCGCATTCCTAGCATGTGATTCTGGAAACTCAGCTTGTATCCCTGCCACCTCCTGTTTGGCTCACTTCCGTGTGCTGTCCCTCCCCACTGATATCTGTCTGTCTTCCGTGCTGGGTGATGTGTCTTTAAAGGAGAGCCAGCCCTTTTAGTCAGTGCATGGAGTGGCTCCTTGGCCTACCTGACCCAACCAGTCTCTGCCAGAGGATATCAGTTCTTGTACTGGTGGTGGGAAACACCTGTCATTATGGTGGCACCTCTCCGCTGATGGTGGTTTTTCTTTTCCCTTTTAGAGTGCCTGGTGAAGAATGTGATGGGATCAGTAGCATGTCTGCGGAGAGCGGCCCTGGGACGAGATTAAGAAATCTGCCCGTAATGGGGGATGGACTAGAAACTACCCAGATGTCTACAACACAGGCCCAGGCCCAACCCCAGCAAGCCAACACAGCCAGCACCAACCCCCCACCCCCGGAGACCTCCAACCCCAACAAGCCCAAGAGGCAGACCAACCAACTGCAATATCTGCTCAAAGTGGTGCTCAAGACACTATGGAAACACCAGTTTGCGTGGCCTTTCCAGCAGCCTGTGGACGCCGTCAAGCTAAACCTCCCTGTGAGTAGCTTGCACAGGACCCAGGGTAGCATCCTCCAGGGCTCCTCCTGTAATGTTCGTGAGGAGGACAGACTCTCAGGCAGGATAGAGATACACTTGAGTTGTGAAAGCATGAGGCCCAGCTCTAAATTCCCGCACCCTTGGGGTCCTGGAGTGAGTGGTTTCAGCAGTGCTGATGAATGGAGATGAGGAAGGACAGAGAACATGCTTACTGTAAGGTTGAGGCAGTAACTGGTTTCTTAGAGATTAGGATCCTGGGAAATACTGTGTAGAGAGCACTTAAAACAAGGGTAAAGGAGTGCTTGCAATTTTCCTTCCATTCCATGGGGAGCTGAAGTGGGAGCACTTGAGAGTTTGGCCCCTCTCTTCTCAGGTGTGCCCAGCCTGCCCAGGAGGAATAGATAGAGTTGGTTAGATCCTGAGGGAGGAGGCTTGCTTGCTGCAGGAACACTCCTCTTTTGGTATTTGTGCCATCATTGTTACCCAGAGCACAGGGCAGGAAAGGCAGTGGCTTATCTCCCAGGGAGTAAGTTCATGGAGGTGGCCTGGTTAGAGGTGGGTTATGTGCCTCTCTGCACATCTGTGCCCCAACTGCCTCTCTGCACAGCCTCATGCCCACCTGCCCCTTCATGGCCACGCTGCACTGGCTCTTGTTTTTTGTTTTTTTGTGTTTAATTTTTGTTTTTGGTACCCCTGCTCTTCTTTCTCTAGAGAGGTTTCTGTTTGCCCACATTCCTAGCATATGATTCTGGAAACTCAGCTTGCATCCCTAACTGAACCTCAGAGAACAAAAGGGACAAACGCTTTTTTTCCCTCTTCTCTCTTCAAATGCTTTAATTAATTTTTCTTCAAAGCATCAAGGACTGATTATCTGTAAGTTGCTCTCTGCTGTTTACCAAGTCCTACCCCTACACCCACCCCACCCCCACACCCCACCCCTCAGACCAGGCATTGAAATTAGATAACTGAGGCAGGGGTTTATAAATACTACAACTATACGGCTAGAGGGGCCTCAGCCTTGGCCAGGCATCCAGTTTCAAGAAAGATAACGCACCGGCATGATTCCCCTGGCTTGAAGGCCACTATTATCTGTGACAGCTGTCCAGTGCTGTCTGTCCACTGAATATGTGTCATATGCACTCGGGAGGAGAGTCAGGAGAGGGAGGACACTGCAGGTCTGCATCAAGAACTGGCTCAGGGAAGCGGTTGGAGCCACATTTGGACTTCAGAGGCCATTCTTGGCCATTGACTATGACACGGAGTAGAGGCAGCTGACTTGTCACTGGAGGGAAGGTCGTGGGAGAGCTTGCTACTCTGGTCTCTAGCTGAACTGGCTGTGTGGGGTCCACAGGTGAGGGTGACCTTCCCAGAACAAATGTAAAACTGGGGGAGAAGCCCGGGGGTGGAAACCAGAGGGGCCTATGGCTTTTAGGGCACTGAAGGGGGGTGGGAGTCTGCAGAGGGGAGCCAAGAGACCTGCCAGCGGAGAGCAGTCCTCCACGTCTCCAAACTGGAGGCTACAGGGGGGCCAGAGATGAGGATTCCGACCTGACCCTCCTGTTGGCCTTTAGGAGGGCATTGGTGACCTTAGGAAGATGTGACGCAGAAGTAAAAACCAGATTCGCGACGGTGTGAATGCGAAGGTGAGGATGTGAAGCCATCATTTGAAGAAATTTGGCTTTGAAGGGAAATATGGCAGGGTCAGAACAAAAAGGGGGTTGGTTTGTATAGGATGATGGAGAGGGCTAAGAGGGTGAGACTGGCAGGAGGAGAAAGGGCGCTGGCAGACCTGGGATTTCTAGACAGGAGCATCCCAGCCAGCGGGACAGACACAGGGGAGGTGGCCTATTAGGCCTATTAGACCAAGGGCTCCCTTTGTTTCTGACGATTGACATCACCCTTGGCAGCTCTGATGTGGGAAGGAGAGACAGGTTGACAGTGGCACTGATCCAGTATCTTCAGAGAGATGGGGATAGTGAGGAGCGGACCCAGAGGGGCGGGAGTGGGGGAGTGGTGCTGGTCAGCTGGGAGCAATGTCATGTTAAAGCCCAGTTTTTTTTAGGGACACCCCCCCCCTTTCAGGAGACGTTAATAAGGCCTCCCAAAAATGCTTCCTTTTTCTGTTCTCTCACACCTTCCAGATCTTTACTTCCATTTTGGCCCTTGGTCCTTGATGGACGGTTCACTGGAATGCCTGTCTCTTTCAAAATCAGTACACGTGTATGGTTGGACTGTCATGCTACTAAACCCAGTGCCTCCTTGTCAGCCCTTTCTCCCACCGCCCCGTTTTTGTCTTTATCCCACCTCTTCCCTCATGCTCTACTCTTAACCACTCCTGTTTGCCTTTGAACCACTTGACACATCACTCTCACTTCAAGCACCTGGCACTATTCTAAAAGACCTCTGGCCATAAACAGAATCTGAACTTCTACTGGGGGAGATATAGTTGGACCTGGTTCTCTTGTGAGAGGTGATCAGAGTATGGAATGATGTAGAATATCTGGTTTAGTCTCATCTTTGAGGCTTCCTGGCCAGGGTACCTAGAGCTGGATGGAACCTGTAAGCCTGTAGCTTTTGTTCCTTTCTCCTGGGTGTAGAGCAACTCAGAATCTCACATTCCTGGCTTGCTTCGGCAGTACTGCCCACACCACTGTTCCTGAGCAGACCTTGGCATGTGCTAACACATAGATCTGCTCCTGCCATCAGGCTTCCATGTGGACTTGGTTCTGATCCTCCATCCAAACCTAATTCTTGGTGGGGCTAGGTGGCTGCATGCAGGTCCCCTGCCTGGCCCTCTGGTCCTTGCACTTGGAAACCCAGGTGCTGCCTCATCTGTCCCCACATTCTCTCCTGTGGTTGTTTTTTCAGTATTCTAGAATTAGAGGAAAGCTGTTTGATCTGAAGGGTTTTAGGACATCTGTGCCTGCCATATGGCTCCTTCTGTTTGGCACTTGTAGAATAAGATCCACGGGTTTGAGGGGTGGGTCTGTGAAGGCTGTGCGGATTTCCTCATTTGGCAGTTAACCTGTTTAGTTGTTAGTTGTTCCTGATAGTAGTAGATCCTTAGTAGTAGATATAGGTTATATACAAGTAAAAGAAGTGAAAGTCCAATGAATTTGACTGAAGATGGAGGTCTGTTCCTTGGTTCTTCAGTGTGACAGGAAGCAAGGGATCCAGTTGTTAGGGGGTGGGCGTGACTGCTGGCTTCATAGGAGTTTGCATTTTATGGGCGCAAAAAATTTCACATTGTGGAGAGAAAGTAGAACCTGCCACAGGTGGTTTTACTAAATAGGAACTGCTTTTTAAAGTCTGTATGTTATCCCCATTATTTATTTAAAATCAAAGGTTATTTTAACATCTCCCCCCCGCCCCCCCAAAAAAAAATCCTGGTAAAGAAAACTGTTCCCAGATTGGGCAGTTGGCAAAGTTGAACATTTTTCCTCCAGTCACCACCCAGCATTTGGGAATTCTTCCCTGGTCCACTTTATCTTGGGGTGCCTTTGAGATTGTGCACTGACACCATAGAAGAGCTTTGGGCTGTGCATCTGTGGAGCGACCTGAAGTGAGATCTATAGGTCCACCTATGATACAAGTACTGTGTGACTGCGGATGTGACACTGGCCCTTTGCTCTCTCTGCTCTCCAGGATTACTATAAGATCATTAAAACACCTATGGATATGGGAACAATAAAGAAGCGCTTGGAAAACAACTATTACTGGAATGCTCAGGAATGTATCCAGGACTTCAACACTATGTTTACAAACTGTTACATCTACAACAAGGTGAGATGTGGGGGCCAGTGTCCAGCTGCCCTACGGGGAGGAGGAGGAGGTGGGTATTTCTGGAGTCCATGGGCAAGGCTGCTGAAGCAGATCGGAGTCTGACAGAGGAGACTGTTAGCGGCAAGGGTAATGGAACCTGCAGCGTTGCCTGTGACTGGCCGTGTTTCTTTTTTGGGGAGAGAGGTGTTGCCATATTTTACTTCTGAGCTGTCCTTGTTAGCTTGAAGCATGTGTTTTTTTATACCTTTGGGATTTTAGGGGGTGTGTGTGTGTGTGTGTGTGTGTTTAAGTTGCTTTTTCAGGTTTGTTTTAAAGAGAGGGGAAGGGAGGGAGACAGGAATAGAAACATCAGTGTGTGGTTGCTCTCACACGCCCCCTACTGGGGACCTGGCCCACAACCCAGGCATGTGCCCTAGACTGGGAATCGAACCGGCGACCCTTTGGTTCACAGGCCAGCACTCAGTCTACTGAGCCACACCAGCTAGGGCAGGATTTTAGTTTTTGACTATGTATAGTAGAGAAGGTGTGAGAAAGACAGTGACAACTTAGGTCCATTTGGATGATATAAATAGGAAGAAGGCTACTACTAAAATGTAGTTGTACAAAGGTATGCTCAAACAGAAACCAACATTGGGGGGAGGGTGATGGAGGCTTATCTGGAACTATGAACATGACCATTCTCAACTTCTGGCCATAGAATCAAGTGTCCCCTGATCTTACACATAGACCTGAAGATTACTTCTTAACCCAATAGCCAAACCTTTCAGCTTGGCTATGCCATGAAGCCAGATCATTTGTTTACAGTTCAGACCACAGATGTGATTAAAACCAACCCTTTCAAATAGAACGGCCCTGGAGGGAGACACTATACAGAACTCAGCTTTTGACCTCTGCTGATGTAGTGGGTAAAATTGCCCAGAAGAGATGGGTAGGTGAGTTTCTTGAAGTTTATTGCATTTTTAAAGTCTCAGCTCTCACCGCGAGATTGAAGTGAAATGTGCATAGTCGAGGTTCTCAGTTGAGAGCTGAGAGGGAACAGCATGTTACAGATGAGGGGAAATTGGGGGCCTCTAAGACACTGTGATATGGGCATTGCCCGGATCCCCAGCAAGCTGCCTTGGGTGTACACTGGGGAACATGGTTAGAGCCCTGCTAACATACGTAGCAAGAAATCCTGTGTAATTCAAGTGTATCTAGTGAATTGAATTGTGTCAAGAAAAGGCCCCTGTTTGATTGGCAGATTGTTAAATGTTTAAGGCATTAGGATGGTTTTCTTAGGTGGGCCAGGGTTTAAGAGACTAGGGAGGGCGGTGCTTACTCAGCATATCTGCAGGCACATGAGACTGTGATGCCTGATGTGGGCTTTGGGGTTCGGCTCGGAGACCCTGAATTTGATGCTTCACAATTTAGGGCAAAGGTAGGTGGCGCAGTGTGAGAAGCATTTGGCTCTTCTTAGAAAGGCAGGGGGCTTTCTGACCCTCACCCCACTTGTCTCCTCTTCCAGCCTGGAGATGACATAGTCTTAATGGCAGAAGCTCTGGAGAAGCTTTTCTTGCAAAAAATCAATGAACTGCCCACAGAAGAAACGGAGATCATGATAGTCCAGGCAAAAGGAAGAGGACGTGGGAGAAAAGAAACAGGTAGGGGACCCCAACACTGTTCTCCTCCCACTGTAAGAGCGAGGAAATGGCTTTATTTCTACCCACTGTTTGCTCCTCTCCACCTCCAGTGGAAGAGGAGGAGTGATAGGATGATGGCTGTTATTTGGATACAGTGGGGCCAGGTTCAGTGGTAGAACTGCCACAGAGGGTTCCATGACTATGTGACCCTCCCCCAAAGTAGAAATAACTGAGCCCTGCCTTTATTTATTTTTTTAAGACTTAATTGATTTATTTTTAGAGAGAGACGAAGGAAGGGAGAAAGAGAGAGAGGAAAAGTGTGTGGTTGCCTCTCGTGCCTACTGGGGACCTGGCCCACAACCCAGGTGTGTGCTCCTACTAGGAATCGCACCTGCGACTCTGGTTCTCAGGCTGCCACTCAATCCACTGAGCCACACCACCCAGGGCAGCCCTGCCTTAAGTTCTGTGAATTGTTCACCCTGCCAGTGTCATAGATAGTCTCTGCTTTTCCATTTTAGAGAAAAGAGCTGAACTTGACCAAAGGCAATTTTAACTAATACTCCAATCCTAGAACCTTGGGAGTTTGTTTTCTGAATTATGTTAACGTGTTTGTGTTGGAGCCTTGCCTGGTTTTTGGTGCCCCATCTTTGAGCCTGCCTTGTCTATGTCAGTGCCCATCCTTGCCTTTGGTATCTTGCCGTTCACAAGCTCCGTGTTGCAGGACAGTCATGCTTGCAAGGTGGCTATGCCATAAGCTTTGTGCTTCTCTTGGCTTTCACCTTGCTTCCCACCCGCTCAGAAGTGCAGGGTTCATGGGAATGAAGGAAGTCAGCTGCCCTGCAGTGCTAAGGGATAGCCAAAGAGAGCTAGTCCTGAGTCACCCTCTTACCCACAGAACCTGCCGAGAGGTGTCTGATCTCCTTTCAGCCAAGGAGCCTTGCCCTCCCTCCCTGTTACCAAGGATTCAGTCTGCACGTGGGGCTTTATGTGTCCAGCGTCTCCGCAAAGCTGCAGAAAGGCAGCAGCTGACCAGCCTCCCTGTGGAGATGGGGAGCTTACCTAGTTTCCAGAAGCATGGGCCATGGCTTCCAATGCCTGTTCCCTGCCAGGAACATTTACTCAGAGACCGTGCTTCCGGGAATGAGAATAGCACTGCCTGAAATTGCCAAGAAACATTTTTCCACTCTATCCCCAGTCCTGGTACTGACTCTCAGTGTGTGTTACCTTCTCCTTCAGCCCCAGCCTCCCCCCCCCCCCCTTATGGAGGGTGTTTGTGGCAAAGTGGGTACTTGGAGCCAGGACTCACAGGAGTTGTGGATGCCGTGTGCCATCACTGTTGAAGCCCCCTGGGCAGGTCGACAGACTTAGCTGAGGTCCAGGGTGTTTGAGCTATTCTCTCTTAAGCAGATAATAGTTACAGTGACACTGTGCTATGCCTATGAAGATGTGTGCTCGCTACATGTGTCAGTGTCCCCACAAGCTCAGCTTGTATGTGTCAGGTGCAGCATCTAACCACCCGTCCCTTTTATGGTTGGCAGGGACAGCAAAACCTGGCGTCTCTACGGTACCGAACACAACACAAGCATCAACTCCTCCGCAGACGCAGACCTCTCAGCAGAACCCTCCACCTGTGCAGGCCACACCTCACCCGTTCCCCACTGTCACCCCAGACCTCATCGTCCAGACCCCTGTCACAGTGGTGCCTCCCCAGCCACTGCAGACACCCCCACCGGTGCCCCCCCCACCCCCTCCACCCCCGGCCCCCCAGCCCGTGCAGAGCCATCCATCCATCATTGCGGCCACCCCACAGCCTGTGAAGGTGAGTGTTCCTGTGGGTGGCCCAACTACTGGTGGGCTCCTGCCACCTCAGCTAGCATTCCCCACTCCCACCCCCACCACCTGATCCATAGCAGTGAGTCTTGCAGGAGATAGTTACCCATCCTTGCTGTTGCTTCATGCAGTCTGTCCTGGCTCCCAGGGGATGGGGAGGAGAATTTGCTGTGTTTAAGTCAGCACAGCCCAGAAGATGCTGCCCCAAAGAGTCCATGATGAAGGTATTCCCCCCCTGGGGTTGCTGGTCCCTCTCATTCCTGATTTAGACTATGCATGTTGGCAGGGGCTGATTCAATAGTTTCTGAAATATGCCATCCGAGGTGGCCTGGTGGTAGGCTTGGCTCTGGGGGTCTCCCAGGCATTGAGTAGGAAGCTGCTTTATGAAGTTTTGTTGGCCTTTGGAGAGCAGGTACTACTGGACTCAGTGGTACATACTCTCTTGCCCCTGGCAGGGCCTATTCCAGCTGCAGAGCAAAGTGGTGGGACAGGGTCTCCTTTTCCTCAGGAGGGTTGGGACCCTAGGAAGGACCTGGCCTCAAGAGTGACCTTAAGGGCTTGCTCTGCATGCCACACCTATGATTGTGCCATCTTATCTGTGCTCTTGGCAGACAAAGAAGGGTATTAAGAGGAAAGCAGATACCACAACCCCCACTACCATCGACCCCATTCACGAGCCGCCTTTGCTGCCCTCGGAACCCAAGACCACCAAGCTGGGCCCACGGCGGGAGAGCAGCCGGCCTGTCAAGCCCCCGAAGAAGGACGTGCCTGATTCGCAGCAGCACCCGGCACCAGACAAGAGCAGCAAGGTCTCAGAGCAGCTCAAGTGCTGCAGCGGCATCCTCAAGGAGATGTTTGCCAAGAAGCATGCAGCTTATGCTTGGCCTTTCTACAAGCCCGTGGATGTGGAAGCACTGGGCCTTCACGACTACTGTGACATCATAAAGCATCCCATGGACATGAGCACAATCAAGGTGGGTGGGTGGGCAGGCTGGCACCCATAGGGCCAGGGGAGACTCCAAAACTGCGGAACTGTGCCCCAACAACTCTCTAGCCTTCTTATCAGCCAAAAGAAACCCTGCTCCCCGCTGTTGGTAACCGTAGGGACATGCTCCCAAACAGTGTGGCAGTTTTGGTCACAGACAGCAGTGCTGCCCCCCTGGTCTCAGGAGGAGCCCTCTTTGGCCTTGAGTCCCAATGCCTACAGGCATCTTGCATGCAGTAGATGCTCACAGAGTGTGGGGATTGGTGACTTTGCCAGACTCGGTGTCACGGGGTAGGCCTTGCTGTCTTCTCTCAGTAGGAGGCACACGACAAGTGCTGGCATTTCCACTGTCATGTTCTGAGGACTTTGGATTTTATTTTAAGCTTCTTTGCATTTTTCTCCTTCTGAGAGTGGAATAAGCCTGCCCGAACATGGGATGGGCACAGCAGGGACAGTGCTCTGCCACTTTTGACCAGTGTTCTGTCCTGTATCACCAAGACAAGTGTACACCTGGTCAGAACTGGACCCGGCCCTCCCTTTTCAGTTCTGGCTTAGGCTCTGCCTCTGGATTCTGTGTCCACTTGCCCCTCGGGCATGGTGACCCCATGCATGGGTTTGCATTCTAACAGGGCAGTTCCTGGCCCTGGGAATTGCTGTTGTCTCCTTTTCTACCTGACACTGAGAACTAGGACGTTAACCTCTCCATGGTCTGGGTTAAACTCCAAGCCCCTGAAGCAACAACTTGTTCCCGCTAGCAACCCTCCCTGTTGCCATCTCCTGCCAGCAGGGACAGACACAGCCTGTCTTGTCTTTTCAGTCTAAACTGGAGGCCCGTGAGTACCGCGATGCTCAGGAATTTGGTGCCGATGTCCGGTTGATGTTCTCTAATTGCTACAAGTACAACCCTCCTGACCATGAGGTGGTAGCCATGGCCCGAAAGCTCCAGGTGAGGCTCTGGGAAGCTCCCGGGCAGGCCAGGCCTCTGTAGGTCTTGGCAGAGTTTATCTCTAGACTCCTCACCAGTCACTTGCTTTGGAATAGTGGGCTCAGGATAATGCCTACATTTCACATTGGCATTCTTTCATTATAATTAAAACAGGGGGGTTGGTTTAGGTTTTGGTCTTGGACATTTTGGGTTTTGTTTTGGGGTGTCCCGCTGAAAGCCTCCCCCAGCACCACCACCGTCTGCATTTGGTTACCCTTGATCAGAAGAGCGTGTGTGCTGTGCATGGCCCAATTTCTTCTCCAAAACAGACCTGTGTCAAGTCAGCGGGGGACACTCTTTGACAGGTAGACACATTGTCACAATTGTGAGCTAAAGTAGCTACTTGACTGTGGACATTTCTTCACTATAGCCCTGAAGCCTTGGTTTGCCTTCCAGCTGCAGGGCGGCTGCTTCTAGGTGTTGCGTGTGTCCACGATGCCCTAATGGGTGGTCCCTTGAAGTGGATCCTGGACTGTGCACATTGTAGATGTTGAGGGGAGGGAGGGGCAGATTATAGTACATATCAACCCCATGTTCTTTTTCTTTTTTTCTTTTTTTTCCTTTCTTTCTTTCTTTTTTTTAAGGGAAACATGTCCAAATAACGATTATCCTTGACTAGAAAGATGAGGGGTTAAAAATTAATGGAGAATAAAAGTCAATATTTAGTACTATTATAATCTGTCTTTTTTTTTTCTTTTTTCTTTTTTTAATCTTTAAAATCACACATATAAGGCTCCAGGTTGCTTATGCTTGCAGGGTTAGGCACAGCAGGATATGGGCCAGGTTACCTGCCAGCATAAGCTACAGGTGCTCTGGCTGGAGCTGAGGTCCATTCAGCACATCCCACATCTAACCCACATCTGGTGGCTGGATGGGGCTTCCTCACACTTGGCTTTTCCAGCCACCTGTGAAGTGCTTCCAGGGCAGAAGTCAGGACTTGCAAAGACTTGGACGATTTGTGGGTTCCCATTCCAGTTAGAGGTCACGTGAGCCCTGCTGCTCATCTGCCTTCCAGGTATGTTAGCTGTGCATGTTATTTCACCCTCACAACCATAGTGTCTCCTACGTTCTCACGGGAGCCAGAGCACAGGCTCCCTTGTTCTTTAACTTGGGCCTTGACCAAGTCAGGGGCTGCCTTGGGTTCAAAGGATGTGTTCTGAACATTTGAGGCAGAAAAAAATCTTATTACTGTGGACCAGTCTATTGTTATTTAAACACATAGTCAGACTTGAAATTTTTAATTTCTACTGCTGTTTCCTAGTTTTATTTTGTCTTAGGTTTTCAGGAGGCAGGTGGACTCTCTTTAGTTGGTCCTGTCTGTTGCTTTTCTTCACGTTGCTGCTGATTCACCATTTACTTTAGCATTTCCCATCCAAGGAGTTCAGGCTTTATCATTTTATACAACTCTCATACATGGTCACCAGATGGCAGTGGTGCACTCAGTGCTGCTCCTGGGACACACCCGCACCCCCTCCCTCCTGGCAGTACTGACTGGCAAGCAATCCTTTTGCCCTGGTTGATACCCACACTCTTTATTTGCCCTTATGCAGACAGATAAACCAGAAGTTCTCTGCCAGCACCAAAGATTGCTGTTTTGAGCAGTTTTATTTTAAAAAGAGGAAAGTATCCTCTAATATAGTCTAGCTTTTTGTCTTCCTAATTTTTGTGCCTGTTTTACATGCTTTGTTACTCTGGGAGTGGTATGAGCATGCCTAAACATGGGGTTTCCCATAGCAAGGCCACTGATATGTTTTGCCACACAGCAACTTCTTTTTAAACGTGGACCCCAGGCATCAGGCTGGGGTGGATGGGGCAGTACACAGGTGGAGACCACCTCCACCCCCAACCTGCTTTGCCTGCTGCAAGGTGTGGGTCATCTTATTACTGAAAGTTAAATACCAGGAGGGAGGATGAAGGTCCCTACTGAATGGCAGAGTTAAAGTGGCGAGTTCCCTGTGTTGGTTTCTCTCTGGAAGACAGTTGCTGTGTTTATGGCATTTTGGGCTTTGTTTTCTTCTTTCTCCTTAAGCTCTCCCGGATCATCATGGTTTAGATGGCTGGATTCCCCAGCAGGGAGAGAGATGAACAAAGCTCTAGCCCTTGTTTGCCACTGTAAGAGGTCTTGGGATTTGTCATCTCTTGGTTAGGCAGTACCCAAGGACTGGGATTTACCTGGGAAGTGTGATGTGGAAAAGGATCTACTTTGTTTTCCTCGTTCAGCCTCTAAATTCTGGGCTTTGCAGCCATGGCCACAAACCTCTGGGCTTGAGGTTTCCTAAGGAGCCTGAGGGTGGCTTGGGACCAGAGCTGCTGTACTGCCCTCTGCCCTTTGTTCTGTTGTTAAGTGACTAATTTAGGAAGTTTAGTACCATGTGGCTTACCAATTTACTTCAAGAAAAGCACAAATTCAAGGTAGTATGCAATTGTTTTTGTAGTAAGGAAAAAATTAAAAAGTGTTGGGATCCTGCATTAGATCCCAGAAATAGGAAGCTTTTGGCGGGGGTGGGTGTATGTCTGACTATCTTCCACTCATGGCTGCATCTCCAGCATCTGGCATCTAGTGGTTCCCTCTCTCCTGGCCTCTGTGCCTTGGGTATGGCCAAACCCCGCAGCAATATCCAGGCTTGGCTGGGAAAGGGCTGGGCCTCATGTTCACCTGAGGATCTCCAATTGCACTTTTGCTTTGGGTCAGTTTTCTTGGGGATCTTTAGACACTGCGACCTCCGAGCATCTAAACAACTCTGTTTCACTAAAATGGGGAGGGCATGCTACCCTCATGAATCTGATACAGCCTGGCGTAAGCGATCTGGTCAACATTCTACTGAGAGGAGGTACTTGCTCTGAAACTAGTGTGGTTTGCTAGTACAGAGAATCTTAATGGGGCCCAGATTCTCCAGGTGGAGTGCAGGTGGTGGTGAGCTGCACAGGGAAGCTGGGTCTGCCTTGAGACACACCAGGGCGAGTGCTGCCTCACATTTCCACATCAGCCACAATCTGTGGGAAAGAAACAGGGACATTCTTATGGCAAGGGTAGTGCCCCTGGCAGCTGGCAGCAGAGTCTAGGCAAACAGGTGGCACAAAGCAGCTCCTCCTTAGTAAAAGGTCACCTCCCAGCAGCATTGAGTGGTGGGCCCTGTCTGCCACTCTCGTTCCTTTATGGGGTTCTGATGCCCTGACACCTTCTTGGATACACTTCTCTCACCTGCCTGCTGCTTCTTGGTACCAGGTCTAAATCCTCCAGATGTTTGTGGGCCACCCAGGGACCTGAGCTTGCCCACATCCAGGATACTGTGGGGCAGAGGGTCTTTCTTACTGCCCCACCGGGGTTTCTGCTCTGGTGTGAAACCCCCTCTCCCTGGAGGCTGGGGTGGTGGTCTCTGGTTACCCTTTCTGTCTTTTCCGTAGCCCTTAGACCTGCTTCAGGATTTTTCTCTGAATAAATGAGAACGGTGGTGTCCTTCTAGTACTTAACAGTAAAACCACTCACTCACACAGGAGAGTCTAGGCCTTGCTGGAGAAGGAGCTGCCTCGGGGGGCAGCACTGGGTGGCCTGGAGGGGAAGGGACAGCACCACAGTTGTCTGCCCTGTGGCCCTGGGGGAGGGGAAACCTGAAGCTGTGTTTCCAGAGGGCTTCTAGAGCTGGCTCTGTCAGGGTGCACCAGTTTGAAATAGCAGTCTTGGAGCTCAATCCCATGACACTCCTGGGCTACATTGTTCTCTGGCAGATCAGTTCACACTTGGGGAATGCCCTTTTTGTCCTGTAAGATATCATGCTGATTGACTTACACCAGGCTTAAAGCAGGTCCCAAAGTCCTAATGGGAAGCCAGCACTGTTGCTTCCACTGCTGTGCTATCAGGATAGTCATCACTGGATTTACTATAATGAAGCCCTCGAGGTAGGGAGGGACCTGCCAGCTAGTTGGTGGGGCAGCTCATAGCTGGACCTCCCAGGTGCCCAGGCTCCATAATCTCACAATCCCATCAGATTCCTGGATCTCAAGAGTTGGAAGGATCTTAGGGTTAGGTTGGGATATCAAGCTCAGTGGCCCTGTGGCCTCAGCTCAGATTGCTCACACCTCACAAAACTGGCACCCTGTGTTCTCATCAGCCCCATACCTACTGTCCTGTACTTTTCTCACCTTGCCTCGTATGTCCTCGAGACTCTTCAGCCAGTGGCAGAGCTCTGCTCAGCTACGTGCCCAGAAGTGATCTGATGAATGGGGAGGCAGATGCAGACCCATTCCTGCTGCAGCAGGGGCTTGGCCCCGTCACTGGCTGAGGACTCTGTGCTGCGTGCACTTCCACCACAGGGCCTTTGCATGTGCTGTTTCCTCTGCTTGGTACGCTCTCTAAAATAGTAGACCTCACCTACTCTCTGCGGGAATGTGAACTAGAGGTGGGCAGAGCCTCCCGTTCTGGTACTGAACTCCCAGTATTCAGAAGCTTCCCTTGGGATGTGCTGACAGAGTTCCAACTTGGTTGGAGTCTTAAGAACTCTTTTTGTGGGTCCTACCCTTAGCCCATTAAATAATGGATCCCTAGACTGACGTCTTCAGTGGGCGGCTGTCTCCTGTGCCCTGTGTCCCCTGTCCTTATCTGGGCTGTATGTCAGGAGCACCTTTTTCTCAGTATGAGATTCGAGAGAGGAGTGTGGGAATTGGTGTCAGGCCCCACCCCAGCATCCTGGCTTAGTGGCATGGAGAAGATTACTGTCGATCCAGCTCCCTGACCCTCTCACTTGCTTCCTGTTGTTGACTTCCCAACAGCCAGTGAGGCTCTGGTGACACTGGGCCACAGCCTGGCTACTCCCCACCCACATGTCTGGGGGACCCAGCAGCCCTGACGGGCCTAGCTTTCCCCACCCACACCTCCCCACCCCCCAGGATGTGTTCGAGATGCGCTTTGCCAAGATGCCAGACGAGCCTGAGGAGCCTTTGGTGTCTGTGTCCTCCCCCGCGGTGCCACCCCCCACCAAGGTCGTGGCCCCACCCTCGTCCAGTGACAGCAGCAGCGATAGCTCCTCGGACAGTGACAGCTCAACCGATGACTCTGAGGAGGAGCGAGCCCAGCGGCTGGCAGAGCTCCAGGAGCAGGTGAGGGCACAGGCATCCCCATCCCCAGTACTGGAATCTGTGGACCAGGCAGTTTCCCTAGAGGTCTCTATAAGATGGTCATGGCTCTGAATCCTGGCTGGAGCAGAATTCCAGTGGTGCCTTTGTGCAAGGTCACAGGTATATTGAACATATGTATATAGCTTGTGGAGGTAGAGAGACACAGCTGCTCTTTGGGCAGAGGCAAAGCTTCTGGATCCTTCCACTGTCTGGAAAGAGGATAACTAGATTGTTCATCTCTACTGGGTCTGCATAGTTGCTCTGTTCCCTACAATCTGGCCATCAGGCCCTTAGTGCCAGCGTGTGTTCATACCCCTGCCCAGTCCCCTGTGGATACTCATCTTGGGTCCAGGATGGCCAGAGGGCTTAGCATTTGTCAGTTTAGGTGGCTCCTCTGGGCAGCTTTGGAATCCAGGGCCTGGGTGGGCACGAGCACTTTGGAAATCCGATGAGATGGCAGGTCAGAAAGCTAAGCACCAGCCCTCTCCTTTGTCCCTGGGCCCTGATGCTTGGGATTTCTGACCAAGACCAGGGTGACAGGCGTGCATTTGCCTGTATGCTCCATAGCTCAAAGCCGTGCACGAGCAGCTTGCAGCCCTCTCGCAGCCCCAGCAGAACAAACCAAAGAAAAAAGAGAAAGATAAAAAGGAAAAGAAAAAAGAAAAGCACAAAAAGAAAGAGGAAGTGGAAGAGAATAAGAAAAGCAAAGCCAAGGAGCTTCCTCCCAAAAAGACCAAGAAAAACAACAGCAGCAACAGTAACACAAGGTCTGTGCCACCCCAGTGCCCTGATGGGGACCTAGCCTGCCCCAGTCATGGGGTGTAATCACCTCTGCTCTTCTCCCAGGGATGAGCGTCGGGCAGTCACCAGGTTTGGGGAGGGAAGGAGGGAAGGAGGGAGGATGGTTGGTAGTGTAGTGCAGGTGGCAGGGAGAGGCCACAGCAGCCTCCCTGTTTCCTGTGAAGACCAGCAGGGTGGAGGTGTGGCAGCCCCTCAGTCCCCCAGTAAAGGATTGGAATGGGTGCCCAGCTTCACAGGGCACCTATTCCTGATGGCATCTGCATTGTTCCTTCATAGCAAGAAGGAGCCAGCACCTGTGAAGACCAAGCCCCCTCCAGCATATGAGTCAGAGGAGGAGGACAAGTGCAAGCCCATGTCCTACGAGGAGAAGCGCCAGCTCAGTCTGGACATCAACAAGCTCCCGGGTGAGAAGCTGGGCCGAGTGGTGCACATCATACAGTCGAGGGAGCCCTCACTTAAGAACTCCAACCCTGACGAGATTGAGATCGACTTCGAGACACTGAAGCCATCTACCCTGCGGGAACTGGAACGCTACGTCACCTCCTGTTTGCGGAAAAAACGGAAACCTCAAGGTGCCCTTGGGTCTCCCCGGGGCTTGGGGGTGTCCCAGCCAAGGGAGGGTTGACCAAGCTGCTTTCTCCTGGCTTTCTGTTAGCGAGGTCCCTGTGGGCACCCACGGTGACTCTCTCTTTCAGACTTTGCTTTTTCTTTTGATGATAAAATCTTTATCCTCGACATGACACCTCTGGAGGGTTGTCACATGGCACTGGACCCTAGGCTGTCAGTGCCTTTCTTGACCTATGTGGCTGATTGCCACCTGGGGCTCACCTGCACATCGGTGTCCTAAACCTTGCTCTGAGCAGCCTTTACCATGGACTCTCTCCTCACCTACTATCACCGCGCCCCGCGCCCCCCCCCCCCCTTTGGTGCCTCTGAGGGCCGAGTCAGGGAGAGGCCTTAGGGCGGCTCTGTGCTTGCCTGCCATTCCTATTTACCTCAACATGGCCCCCTCTGGGTTTTCCAGGCAGTGCTTTTGCTTTACAGGTGCCTCATCTTGGCTCAGCTTTTGTTTTAGGACTAGGAAGGCTTAGGATCCATATCAGGACGTTGTACAATCTTCATCCCAGTCCAGACTGACTCCAGGGGTCGTTGGGTCCTCTTTACTCACTGCCAGGAAAGTTGCTGAGGGAGCTCTAGCCCCTCTTGCTTGTCTTAATCCTGATGAATTCTGTGGAGGGGATTCTGAGAGATTGGCTGGGGGGCAGGACACAGCAGCTTGAGATTTCAGCATAAGCCGAGTTTTTGGCCAGCAGGCAGTAGGCTGACATCTTAACACTGGGAAACATGGGGCCGGTTGGGGTCTGGGACACCACCAGGAGCAGCTCTCTGGCCCGCAGGGCATAGACTGTCCTGGGGCCCTTCCTCCTGAGGTACGCCTGAATGAAGAGCAGCCCCCGGGTTGGGCCCTGCCTGACGCAGTTCATGTTGCTTTACTGCAGCCGAGAAAGTGGATGTGATTGCTGGCTCCTCCAAGATGAAGGGCTTCTCATCCTCGGAGTCTGAGAGCACCAGCGAGTCCAGCTCTTCCGACAGTGAAGACTCCGAAACAGGTTAGGGTCCTACTCAGCATCTTGTTGCACACCTGCATGTATTTGAACCACTCATCCTATGTCCAGGCTGCTAGAGACCAGGTGTGATGGTCATAACATTTCTTCGGCCACCATTTTAACACCCTGACTGGAGTAGTGGGTAGCCCGCCACCCTGTTCTCTCCCTTGTGGCCTGGGCTAAGAGGAGGGTATTGACACTGTAGGGCCGGGCTGTGGGGAGCTGGTGAAAACATTGGATGTTGGGGCCCAGGTGTTGGCTTTGATCCTGGTGTGACCATGCCCAGTCTATCATCTTCGCTGCACCACAGTCACAGTACGGCTCTCCCGGGTGATAACGCTTTGGCAGGGGTGGGGCAGCCTACTGTCGGCCCCTTCTGTCACCAGGCTCAGGGCACTACCATTCTCTCCAGAGTGTGCTCACTACTGTTTTGGCAGCTCCTAACTCTGTTCACACTTGGATGTGTGTGTCCTGCACCTCTACCAGTCCTTGTCTTTGTGCTCCATGGGCCTGCGTGTATGCCCGACATGAGCAACAGCTTCAGAATGGGAGGTGGGTGAGGTAGAGATGTGGGGGGCTGCACCGTGGTGGGGAGAGGGCCTTCCTCCAGGTGTGTGTTTACCCAATGATACTTGGGAGCAGAAGCTCAGACTAGCCCAGAGAGGCTAGGGAAGGAGCCAGGCGACCAGACCATGCTGTAAGGTGGAGCCAGCGGTTTCCACTGGCTGGTCTCTTAGCAGGTCTACACTCTGCAGACTGCCTGAGAGCTAGCTGGTCCTGGGGGCCTAAGCATGTCCCTCCAGGCAGGCAGCAGTCTGTGTGTCCACAGTGGGGAACATGTGTTTGGGCAACGAAGTGTGTTCTTTCGTGGACCTGTCCTGTCTTCTGGTATTTTATTCTGACTAAATAAATCATAAGTTCCACTTAATCATTTCATGTAAATAATGTGACCTGGTGGTACCAAGGAGGTCTGAGGATCCCTACAGCAGCTGGGAAGAGTGATGCTGTTCCGAGATGTGTATGCACAGGTTCTCATGTGGGCTCAACCTGTTTCTTGGGACCAGGGGGCTCCGGTTCTTGGCACTGTCCCTCATTCCTATTACAGTAGGTGCACCAGACTTCCCAAGTGAGTGGAGGGCTCACCTGTGGAGGATTTCGGGGGACACTGAGGGCTTCCGCAGGACTCCAGATGCAGGATTGCTTCATTTTCAGTGGGCCCAAGTGAGGTGAAATTCATGAGGCTGTATTCTGTATTGAGCTACCACTGTATGCAGACTGATATATGCATTTTGCTGACTGCCTCTCTTACCATCCTTGACCCATTTTCTAACCATCACCTCCAACGCTGTCATGGCTTTTTTTAAAATCCGTCTACCAGCAGGGGGTGCCACACCCCCATGCCTGCCCAGAAGGGCTGCCTTGCCAGTCTGTTGCCCACTGCGGAGTGAAATGGCTGTATTCTTGGATCCAGTTAGCATTCCTGGTAGCATCTGACTTCTCACTTTGGGTGCCAGCCACTCCTTGGATTTACCTTCACTCTGGGGTTCCTTGCAGGCTGCTCCCTCTAGGGGTTTCACAGCCTTTTTCCTAATCCAAATGGTCAAAAGAAAACAGTAAAGGCTGAAACTGGCATGGGACCTGGTCATTAAGTAAGGCAGCTTGGCTGAGGGTGAACTGCTTTTGCTGATGTGGCACCTTAGGAGACTGTGACTGTGTCCTTTGCCCCTGGCCCCCAAGCTCAGCAGGACGGCTCCAGGGCTCCCGAGTGCCCTGCTTGCTTTTGTGTTTGTGGGGTGGCCATGACGGCATTTCCAACAGCTCTTTGCTGCTGCCAACTGTGTTTCTTTATTTTTTCACATTTTTTCCTCTTTTAAATGAATTGGAAAGATTGTGCAACAAGTAATCTGAGAGTCCTGGGAACAGCTGTCTTGGCGGGAAGGAGGGTGAGATTTACAGTGTCTGAGCTGCTGGCCTGCAGGCCCCAGTCTCCAGTCTCCGGCGATTCGGCCGACTCCAGCTTGTCCCTCTTCCCATGCGCCCTCCCTACCTTGGGTTTTGTAAGACTCCCTTTTGTCTTTGTGGTCCTGGCTTTTTCTGCCCCAGCAGTTTGCACTGAAGAGCTCTGTCATGGGCTAGCAGGGGCCTCTGCTTTCAGGAAGCACCCACCCTGTGGGTTTGTGTCCTGTACCTCAGACACTCTGGATCCCAAGGTGGGAGCCTGTGGCCCTGAACTGCTGAATGCAGCCATTGCCACCCAGCCCTCACAGGAAACTGCACTCACGTCCCTGGCAGCTCTTCCAGCAGCTGCTTATGCTGGGTGCATGGAGCCAGGCAGCTGATTTCTGGGACCAGTTACAGGTGGTTCTGCCTTGGGGTGGGGGGCGGTCATCAGGATGAGGGGTGGGCATGAAAGGTATTTTCCTTGGTCTTTTGGAACTTAAATTGTTTTTCCTTCCTTGTTCTTGTGTTTCCATTTGGATTGGAGCCGACATTCCTGAATGGGCCTATTTTTGTCGATTGTATTAAGTAAGGGTCAGTTCTGCCGACACAGCCCCAAGACTAGAATCACCAAAAGAAACTGAACAGAGGCACTAAATTGGGGTTGTAGGTTGTTAACCTGGACCCCTTCTGTCTGCTGTTCACAGACAAGGATGCTGATGACAGCTCAGGCACAGGACTTGTCCTTAGGGTCATGTTGCAGTTCAGGGAAACGGTGTGCTCACAGGATGGGGGTTGGGGGGCGGGGGGGCAGGAACTGCTTTCCCAGCCCAGTCCCAGGCCACCACGTGTTCCCTTGCTCAGCAGCACACACTGCTGTTGGCCTGTCCCACCACATCCTCTGAAGCCAGCTCGGCTTGGGTTGTGGTCTTTTGTTTAAAAAAAAAAAAGAAAAGAAAATTTTCTTTTTGTCTGAAGTTTTGGTCTGCTTGAGGGTTTAGTATTGGGAGGACAGGGTTGGGTACAAGTGAGCCAACCTCCCACTGGCCCTAAGGCAACTGTAGACCTTAGCTGGGCAAGCTAAAAGTGCCGCGGTTCTTCCTTTCCACTGCAGTTCCAGGTGGGCTGTGGGTGGAGCTGTGGCCTTCCTGCCGTCAGTGCTGGGAGCACGTCTGCCTGGCTCACGGGGTCAGACATATCCTAGGGTTTTTCATCCTGCTTCCCTCCATCACATTGCTGATGCCTGGCTCTTCTGGGTGGTATCCCTCTTAGGAGCAACCCCTGTCCCTAACCACCTGGGCTGGGACCCAGATTCAGGAAAGTTTGAGATGGTTCTTTTGGACTTGGCCTAGCCTTCTAATTGCAGCAGGAGCACACTCCAGCTATTTTAGTCTCCTTGTTTCCTTTTCCCAGGATTGGAGCATGTGGGTATTTTTTAATAGCTCCAGGGGGAAAAGGAATGCTTCATGTTTTGGAAAGATTTGAGCTGGAAAGTGCACACGGAGGCCATGGGGCATTCTTCCCAGACAGCCAGCCTCAGCTTCCGACTCGCAGGGTCTCTGAGGAACTTGGTTCCAGTCTGCTCTTGGGGCCTGATGCTGCCCACTCCAGGGGTGTGCCACTTGCTCTCAGGGACAGGGAGAGGCTCCTGGTGAGTGGGGATGGGGGAATAGGCAGAAACCTGGAGGATGGGGCTGTAGCCTGTCTGCTTACACTGCCTGGTGACCCCTCATATACCCACATGCAGTTGGTGGGATTCTGGGGTGGAGCTAGCCTTGTGGAATGTGCCCTGAGTGAGAGGCTGGCCAGTGGGCGGGTTTTTCCCATGCGTGCCCTAGGGGACCATGGGAATGCAGTCAGTGTCAGTGCATCCGTGACTTCAGCAGAGGCATCTGCTCTGCTGTGTGGGTGGGAATGACCCCATGCCTCTCCCTTGACAAGGAGAGCCGAATTCCATGCCCTGGAAAAAAGAAAGGACGGCTTTCCTCCTCAGCCTGTTTTGTTTTATTTTATTTGTGCCCCTTTAACAGTGTCTGTAACTGATTTCTCTTTTTAAATTTCTTTTTTGTTTCTTGGGGTTGGTAGGAATGCAGAAATGAGGTGTTAGCTGTAGGGCCTACACCTGAGAGCCCCTTTCCCCCCCACTCCATCCAAGTCCTAAAGGAGGACTGAAACACCTCCCTGAGAAGCAAGATGCAGCAGAGGCGACCCAGGGGATAAGCTCCGAGTCAGTGGAGCCTGTGGGAATGGCACACCAGGCTGGTGGGACAGGTGACTTGGATAGGCAGAGAGGCCTCTCACATTGCAAAGACTGGTGAAGGAGGTGCTCTCATGAACTTGGGGTGCACATTACTGGAAGCAGTTCTGTCTAGAAGCATAAACAAGCTTGGGTAGTTTTGGAGATATCCATGGCCCTTCTAAGGGGAAGGTGGGTTGTCCCTGCCCTCAGCTGGCCAGGCTGAGGCAGGGCTTCTGGGCTCCAGCGCTGTTCTCTGGTGCCTTGTCAGTGAGCAGGGCACAGGAGGCTGGCTTGATCTGCAGTTCTTCTGTTCTTATGACTTGGAACGGTACATTCCACACCATTTCTCTCACACTGGTTTCTCTCTCCCTCTATGTAGGTCCTGCCTAATCATTGGACACGGACTCTTAATAAAACGGTCTTCAGTTCCAGATTCCTTCCCAGCAAGCTCTAGCTTAAGTCCATTTTCTTCTGTGAAAGGGACAGGACTCCATCAAGTTATGGAATTCCTCAGAGCCCTGGGCCTGTCCCCGGGGGGCATTAGTCATGTCCATCAGAGCAGCACACGCCTAGTCCCGCCTCCGGGAAGGCCGCCTTGCCTGGCTGGCTGCCCGGGCCTCCTGTGTACAGACTGCCTGGCTGTCCTACCCAGCCTCCCTGGTCGTCTGGGCTCCTCCGGGTGGGTGACATCACCCAGAGAGTGATGACAATCTCCCTGCACACGCATGGGTGTGGGTGCTGCTCTGTGAGCAAGGCCCCATCAGAAGTATGTTTTCTTTCTATCCCTTCATCTTTTTCTGGGACTCTGGATCCTAACCACTTCCCTCCTGGACCTGGCAGGGACGTTTAGCCCAGGGGAAATTTCATTCAGCCTAAGGAAGAACACACATCTAGAGCTTTCCCAAGTGAGGAATGGGGGCTGTCCTTCAGCATGCCTTCTATCTAGTGGCTCCTGTGACTCCATCAGCCAGAGGCTATCACCAGCCACAGCTGACTCAGCCCCCTGGAGTCTTTCCATTTTTGTTGTTCCCTGTTGGGCATTTTTCTGGTTTCTTTTCCTATTCTGTTAAAGTTGCACAGGGAAAGGACCTCCTGGGCTGCCTCTGTCCCTCCCAGGTGAATAGAGGCAGGCTGCAGTGGGGCCAGCCACTGGCGACCGCATTTGGGGAGGGTCAGCTGTGTAGCCAGCCGACCTGGCCCCTGGAGCCCCTCATCCCTGCCCCCAGGGGGTCAGGGTCTGGGCTCGTGGGTGAGAAAGGGCTCTCAAAATCCAGAGCACTGGACTGGTCAGCAGTGAGGGTGTCAGAGCCCTTGTGGCTGGCTCTCTGCACATCTGTGATGGATGTGGCCAGTCCGGGCACCCTCATAGTTTTTAGTCCCCTAGAATAATGGCAGCTGCTGGGAGTTGGGCAGGCAGCATCATACAAGCCCTCTGAGAGGTTTTTTGGCTCTAAAAATAAAATAATCAGCCCTTTTTTGGTCACGAATCCAGCATCTCAACAGAAGACTGCCCTATGTGAAAAGTCCCCTAAGGAGCAACATCTGCCTTTAAGGGAGCCCTTTTTTTCCCCCTTTTCTTTTCTTTTCTTTTTTTTAAAGTGTAGTTTGTACATACTTCAAGGCCTGGCCATCTGCTGGCATCATGGAGCCAGACTTCTGGAATTGGAAGCCGGCTTGAGGAGGTACAGTTCACCATCAGCAAACCCAAGCAGCTATAATTTTCTCAGACTGGCCTTGGCCTTGGGTTCTAGCTCCAGCACCCCACTCCCACACCCCAGTCTCTAGGATCCTGCTGTGATGCTTGGAGTCCCAGGCTGCTCTCTGGTCCTCTGACCAGTTGGCTTCCAGTCAAGCTCCATTTGCCAAACAGACTATTTTGAGTTGCCCTTTGGCCTGTGCCTGATGTGTTGCCAGTGCATCTCGGCCTAGCTGAGGCCACGGGGCCTCATGCCCAGAGGTTCCCAAAGGACAGTTGTGAAGTAGCTAGCATTGTCTTTCTGGGAAGATTCTGCCGCCTCAGAACAAATGGCTGCCTGGATTCCCGTCGTGTGGCCTGTGTGCTGCTTCACCCCTTCACACATACCTGCACACAGGCTGTAGCTGCAACAGGGTTTTTGCACCCTTGCTGTTCAGGGATCCTGTCCTTCTTGCCTGTGGGTTTCTATCTGGCAGCAAGTTTGATCTTTAGACTTGAGCCTATCACATGTGCCCAGCGCCCCAGGAACAGAGCAGAGGGCAGTGCCCACTCATTATTGCAGGCCCCCGAGCTTGGGAAATAAAAGGTACCAGCTGGGCCTCAGCTCACCAGCAGGCTTCGGGGCCTAAGGAGTTGCTGAGGGATGGGAGGCCCAGCTGGCACCAAGACTCCCTAGTTCAGTTTAGAGGCTTCATCCCTCTTCCCTGCCCTTACCCTCCATCCTGTCTCCTTCCCTTGATTTGGGGGGTGTGGGAGGAGGAATCAGTGTTTTAATCAGATTTTACAAAAACGTTTTAATTCTTTGTACAATTACCATCCTATGTAAAGATGACGTTTGTGTTGAGTTGAAGATTTTCATGGAATAAAGATCACACAGTCTTTGAGGCCATCTTCATGGAACCCTTTTTAGAGAGTTTTGTGTGGGGGTGTCTTGGGGCTGGTGTGTTGTGAAGCCGTGCACTTCTGTCTTGTCTTCCTTCCAGTCACCTCAACATGAGACTTGGGCCACATGAGCCAGATATGCTCTCCCAAACAGGCTCCAGCACCTTTGGTTCCCACCGCCGGTCCTTTTAGTCCTTGGGTCCTGGGGGTATCCTTTGTGCCAGCACTGCCAGGGAGCCCTGGGGTACTCCCAGTGACCTTTGCAAGGCAGCTGAGATTTGTTCCCTGTAACCCCCGGTACCCCGTTGACCTTGGTCCCCATGAGTTCTCGTGTGAACCTCTGCTCAGAACCTAAGGGAAGTTAATGAGGACTCGGAGCCACTGTCCCTGTTGTGGGAAAAACTAGTGTCTTCTCAAGTCCACAAGATGACAGGTTGCCCTGACCCTGCGCAATTCTCCCTCTCTCCATGACACAGTGTCTGCTGGTCAGAATTTAACCACTGGCTCCCCTCCCCTAGACTTTCCCAAAAGCATGACCAGTGTATGAGCACCTGTCCCAGCCTCCCTGGACCTGCCATTTCTGTTCATGGAATTGATGCTGGGAGAGGGTCCTGTCTGGGAGAAACACCCTAGCCTCTTGTACTTCTTGGTGGCTTCTCAGCACATTTCAGGGTCCCTTTGGTTCTGAACCTCCAGCATCTTCAGTACAGTGCTTCCCCTCACCCCCTACCATGCAGCTGCCAGACCATGTGGTCTTGATCCTGCAAACCCCCTAAACTGGCTCCCTTTTGTATGTCTCACCCACAATAGTGTCCCTCTCCCCAGGTTTCCTGACCCAGGGTCCTGAGCCTGCATCCTGGAAATCCCCAGGTTTGTTGCTGGGCCTATGATTCTCATGTCCCAGGTTTCCCAGTTGCTGCCATTTGTATGAGGACGAGTGTCTAGCTGCTGAGGTCTGTGTTGCTGTCTTGTCTCTCGTGTGGAGTGTGAGCTCTTGCAGGGCACCAGGTCCCATATCCCTTTGGGTGGCACATGGCACCCTGAGGCCGTGCCGTGCACCTCACAGAACCTTAGCATGGCCCTTCGTGAAGCAGCTATGAGCGGAGGTAGCCCTGCTTTGGACAAAGCCTGTGTCTTCTGATCCCAGCAGCAAGAGCAAAGCACCCTGGCAAGAAGCTCAGGGAATGCCAGGCAAAGGTGGCAGGAGTCCAAAAGGCACTGTGGGTTCTACTTCCCACGTGGTGGTTGGTAACTTCACCATTTCCTAGCCTGTGAGCACCAGCTGGGCCTCTGTCCCTCTCTCGTGCTTGCATACCAGTGGAGTTTGGCGAGGGGCATCCAGCTGGCAAGTTCGTTGGAGTGGGGATAGGGAGCATGCTGGCTCTTGGGCACTCCTCGCAGATGTGTCCGCACAGTGGTGGCAACAAGCTCTCGGCCTCTGAGGAACCAGAGCACATACTGTCTTCTCCCTGCAGCACGTCCACTGCGTCCCAGTACTGAGCTGCTCTCGAGGCCACTCTCCTGAAAGGAAGGAGAAGCTGGTGATGGTATTGAGCATCTCCATGTTGCTCTCGGTAGTCCTGGGGAGACTTGCTGCTCAGCTTGCCTCTTTCTCTCCCTCCCCTAAAGTATTCACACTACGACCTTCCCACGTGTCAGCATTCTCCTCACCTGTCCCGTGGTTCTGTGTTCAGACCTTGGTCCAAGCCCATGCCCCTGTCTCTCTCACCACACTTGAATATATTTGCTCCCCCTAGGGGACCGGGAAGGAGTGCACCTCAGAGGGCAATGCCATTGAAGGCAGCTGTGTGACCCAGGACAAATCCCTTAACTTCAGAACCTCACTTTGCTTATCTTTCAATTGGATATCATTTCGAACACTGCAGTTCCAAGAGAGAGCAGGCTGGGGTGCAGACACTCTTTTTGCCTTAGTGACCTCTCACCTGAAAGGGAGTGACATTGGGCAGGGAGGTCTCTGTATGTAGCTCAGCCCTGGGTGCCCCAGGTATCATCCTTTAAAGCACTGAGGGTGAGGAGCTGGGCAAGGAGGCTTTTCAGGCATAGTCCCAGCTACGAAAAGTGGCAGGCAAATGGGTAGGTGACGCTCCACATTGTCTCTTTCCCATGACAGACTCATATCAGAACTCTGCCACCCTGCCTGGCTGTCACCAGCCCTTCTCCTGAACTCACCCTGTTTTCTCCTGGTTCTGCGTCCAAGGCAGCGCAGTCTTCTCGCCCAGGCCTCACTAGCTTCTCTTTTCCTCTGCAGAGATGGCTCCGAAGTCCAAAAAGAAGGGGCACCCCGGGAGAGAGCAGAAGAAGGTATGTGATCTCAGGGGACCACCCTCGGGAATGGTGGCCACTCTCACCATTGTGGGCCCTGGGGGCACCTGGAGCTGGCCTAAGGGTTTCTGCCTGCCTGACGTCAGCCTGTCTGTCTGTCTGTCTGCAGCACCATCACCACCACCACCAGCAGCTGCAGCAGGCCCCGGGTCCTGGGCCCCAGCAGCCCCCGCCACCTCCCCAGCAGCCCCCGCCACCCCCACCTCCGCAGCAGCAGCAGCAGCAGCAGCAGCAGCAGCAGCTGCCCCCACCACCCCCACCCTCCATGCCGCAGCAGGCTGCCCCCACGATGAAGTCCTCGCCCCCGCCTTTCATCGCTGCCCAGGTGCCTGTCTTGGAGCCTCAGCTCCCAGGCAGTGTCTTCGACCCCATCGGCCACTTCACCCAACCCATCCTGCACCTACCGCAGCCTGAGCTGCCCCCTCACCTCCCCCAGCCACCTGAGCACAGCACTCCGCCTCATCTCAACCAGCACTCAGTGGTCTCTCCTCCAGGTGAGCTGTGGCCATACCCGCCCAGGTTCAGAGAGGCCCCTTCCTGTCCTGGTCTCACTGCTGTGTGACTGGGCGCTCAGCGCAAACTTTGGAACCTATCTCAGCTTTAGTTGTCTGTAAGGGAATGTCAGCAGCTTCCCAGGGCCATTGTGGAACTTAACACAGACACCTCAGGATGGCCTTTGCGGAGAGTTTGTGCTTTGCTATAAGAGATAGTCATTTGTGCTGAGCCAGGCATTGTCAGGTGAAAAAAGATACGACCCCTCTGCAGCTCCCAGTCAGGGTAGGGGGAACATACTCATCCCAGATAGGAAGGTCAGGTAGAGGCATTCAGGACATGTCCTACTCTGAAACTCGAAGGGGAATGTGAAGATGGGACAGATGGAGGAAGTGGGGAGTGGGAGGCGCAGGGCACCTAGCAGGACAGCGCTCATGAGGGCCCGATCTTGTGCCGCGTTCCCCCCACCCCTGCAACAGTTTATTCTGGAGGTGATAAGGAGTTGAAGATGTTGGGGAGAGTGTTAGTTGAAGATGGGTGGGAAGTCAGGATGGAGTGGAGACCTCAGGAGCCTCACTGCCACCCTGTTGTGTTCTTCTAGCTTTGCACAACGCGCTGCCCCAGCAGCCATCGAGGCCCAGCAACCGAGCCGCCGCCCTGCCCCCCAAGCCTGCCCGCCCCCCTGCTGTGTCACCCGCTCTGGCCCAGCCACCCCTGCTCCCGCAGCCCCCTATGGCCCAGCCACCCCAAGTGCTGCTGCAGGAGGAAGAGGAGCCGCCTAACCCACCCCTCACTTCCATGCAGATGCAGCTCTACCTGCAGCAGCTACAGAAGGTGCAGCCCCCCACACCTCTACTCCCTTCCGTGAAGGTGCAGTCCCAGCCCCCACCTCCCTTGCCACCCCCGCCTCACCCTTCTGTGCAGCAGCAGCTACAGCAGCCACCACCACCTCCACCACCCCCCCAGACACAGACCCAGCCCCAGCACCAGCCGCCCCCCCGTCCTGTGCACATGCAACCCATGCAGTTCCCCACTCACATCCAGCAGCCCCCGCCACCCCCAGGCCCACAGCCCCCGCACCCGCCTCCCAGCCAGCAGCCACCCCCACCACAGCCCGCCAAGCCTCAGCAAGTCATCCAGCATCACCCTTCACCCAGGCACCACAAGTCGGACCCCTACTCAACCAGTAAGTGACTTGTCCTGGGCTCCGGGGAGGCTGGTCCTGGGTCCAAAGTTTTGTCCTTGAGCAGCCATCCCGGTGAGCTCATGCTTCAGGCTGAGGTCGGATGGGGTGTCTGATGTGCTGTCGATGCTTCTTGCAGTATCTTAGATGTGTCTTGTTTGCGAGCTGAGGTGACCAGGAATAAGGTCCCCACTGACCCTTCTTTTGGAACTCAGTTAAAAAAAATGCTGCAAGTGCATTGTGATTCCTGCCAGGTGGAGAGGTCAGGAACCTCGGGAGGCACCCAGTCCACCTCTAGGGTTTGGAGCAGGCTTCCTGGAGGAGGTGGCCAGAGGATGAGCAGGAGCTAGTTTAACAACCAGGGTGAGGATTGAGCTCCAGGAGGAGCCAGGGGCAGGTCTGGGCAACAGGGGTTGTTTAAGAACTTGGAGGACCAGGTGCTCTGCTCTTGGTTTCATGAGGCCCATCTGGTAGAGCCAGGAAGGACTATGTCTGAGAGAATTGGGCTAAAAAGCTCAAAAGTGATGTGTTTCCCACCTTTCCCCAGAACCATTCCCATCTCCTGCTGCTTGGTCCAAGCTGCCCTTTTCCCTCCACAGCACTGGTCAGGCCATGCTCTCTTGTATTTCTTGGGTATTTGTAATCTAAGTGTTTGTAAACAAAGTATCCTGACCAGCCTGGTGTGGAAATGTGATGTTGATGGCATCATGATGTAGTGACATGCAGGACTCAAGAGTTGAGGTCCTTGGCCTTGGCAGTGTGGACCAACAGTCTGGCTTGGGGTTGCAGTGGTGCTCTCACAGATTGAACAACAAGGCTGTGCAAGGCTCCTAAACCCAAGAAAAGCTGCCAGGTGCCAAGAACAACTGGCTGTCCTCCCTGGGAAAGACTGGTGCCGGTCCTGGCAGCCATGCAGCTGTGCCTGTTTCCACCCTTGTGCAAGGTCAGGATTCCTGTGGTGGGCAGTGGTGGGTGATGAGATACTTTCAGAAGAGCCAGCAGTTGGGACAAGGCAGGTCCCTTCTGGTCACTTGGGTCCAGCCTCCCCCTTGAGCTCCTGCGGCCAGGGTTTGACACAGAGAGGGATGTAGATTGAAGCCCAGCTAGGGTTTTGGGTCAAAGACCAAGTCATTAGAGTTCCAGGGAGCTCAGCAGGCATCCCTGGGTATTGGGGCAGCTCTCAGGCACTGCCACTGCACTTCCCCTGTAAGTGCTCATGGAGGAAGCCACCAGCGGGCAAAGCAGTTCCTACAGATCATAGGCCTGAGAGCCTGCCATCACCCGGACAGCTACCCAGGCAGGAGGCTGTCATAGTCAACATGCCTGCGGCTGGCTGGCAGGCTTGGAACAGGGCCACCCAGCACCTAGGCCGGCAGAACCAGCCACACTGGGCTGGGGGGCCAAGGCACAGGGATAGGCTGGTCCTTGCCGTCTCTGAACAGCTTTTCTGGCTCCGGGGGGCGGGGGGGGGGATGGAAATCAGTTGTGGTCAGCTCCAGGCCCATTAAAATGGGCATCTCTGCCCAGAGCCCGTGGAGCACCCAAGGGTGTCTGTGCTGGCAGACAGAGGCAGGTCAGTGACAGGTCCTGCACACAGAGCTAAGGTTAGATGGTTCAGTGTAAGGCATGAGGGCGGACTAGGGGCACGGAGGTGACTTACTTTTGTGGACAGTGTGGCTTGTCCCATGGTAGAGCTGGCCAAGATGTGTCAGGGGTTCAAACAGGAGGGTGTCTCCCTGATGGGGTAGATGGAAGAGGGGAGGGCGGGGCTTGCTGTCTTTTCTAGCCACATGGTCCTGAGGGGCTGGCCCGCTGTGACCTAGGGCTGTTTCCTCACCAATGAGGCTGAGGTGTCAAGCTTCAGTGCCTGGCCACGCCTTTGCGAATGGGGCTTTCCTGACTCCTGCCCTGCACCTGGTGCTCATACCCTGTGGCTGCGTGGGTCCCTTCACCTGTTGGTTAGATAAAGATGAGTGGGCTGGCCCACGTCTGGCAGAAACAGCAAGCCCAGGACCTCTCTCCTAACTCTGTGGTGGTGCCAACTGATTCTAGGCCAGCCCTAATCCTGAAGCAGCTGCCTAGACAGGCAGACCGAGCCACACGGGGACAGCAAGGAGCCAGGCTGCCTGCTCTGTCAGCTTATTGGTGGTCCAGGCATTGCCACAGAACCACCTGGAGAGCTTTTAAAAAGTACTCAGGCTCAGACCCTACCTGGGACCAAATGTATCAAGTTCTGCACCTCTCAAAGCTCCCCGATGATTCCGACACACCGGTTTCAGACTCCAGGACTAAACGCAGGGCTCCACAAAGCCCTGCTACACCCTGAGCTCAGACTGAGCTGACCCTGAGCTCACCCTGACTGAGCAGGCCCACAGACCCCATGTGGCAAAGGCTCCCATGGTGGGCCTCCCCTCGGTTGGGGGGCCAGGCTGGTCCCTGGGCTAGCGACCTCCACACCAGTTCATCTCACATGCTCCTTGTCCCCTCTCCTAGGTCACCTCCGTGAAGCTCCCTCCCCGCTTATGATACATTCCCCCCAGATGCAACAGTTCCAGAGCTTGACCCATCAATCGCCACCCCAGCAAAACGTCCAGCCGAAGAAGCAGGTAAAGAGCAGGGCTGGGCCTCGGCCCTCAGGGCCAGGCACGGGCCAGGGCCAAGGCTGCCTGCCCGCCTCACCGGCCGCCGTGCCTGTGCCGTCCCAGGAGCTGCGCGCGGCCTCCGTGGTCCAGTCCCAGCCCCAGCCCCTGGTGGTGGTGAAGGAGGAGAAGATCCACTCACCCATCATCCGCAGCGAGCCCTTCAGCCCCTCGCTGCGGCCGGAGCCCCCCAAGCACCCGGAGAGCATCAAGGCCCCCGTCCACCTGCCCCAGCGTGAGTGTCCCGTCCACTCCCAGCCAGGGCTGAGTGTGAGCTTCTATGGGCCATCCAGCCCACCGTGCTCGCCCAGGTGTGGGACCCAGGTCCACAGGCTATTTGTGTTTCAGGGCCTGAGATGAAACCTGTGGATGTTGGGAGGCCTGTGATCCGGCCTCCTGAGCAGAACGCACCCCCACCAGGGGCTTCTGAAAAGGACAAACAGAAACAGGAGCCGAAGACACCAGTCGCACCTAAAAAGGTAGGATACATGGGCCCATAGTGCATCTTATCCTCCACCCCAATCCCAGGGAGGCATCCACATGGCAGCTTGGCTCCTCACCCACCCAGTGGTCTCTCTGCCTCACAGGACCTCAAAATCAAGAACATGGGCTCCTGGGCCAGCCTGGTACAGAAGCACCCCACCACCCCATCCTCCACAGCCAAGTCATCAAGCGACAGCTTTGAGCAGTTCCGCCGTGCAGCCAGGGAGAAAGAGGAACGTGAGAAGGCCCTGAAGGCGCAGGCCGAGCATGCAGAGAAGGAGAAGGAGCGACTACGGCAGGAGCGCATGAGGTGGGCACTGGCTCTGCGGGCAGGAGCTCCTGGGGTGTCCCGGGCCCCAGGCTGATCTGAAGCCCTGCTCTGCTCAGGAGCCGAGAGGATGAGGACGCACTGGAACAGGCCCGGCGAGTCCATGAGGAGGCACGCCGGCGTCAGGAGCAGCAGCAGCAGCAGCAGAGGCAGGAGCAGCAGCAGCAGCAGCAGCAGCAGCAGCAGGCGGCCGCAGTGGCCGCAGCTGCCGCCGCCCCCCAAGCCCAGAGCTCCCAGCCCCAGTCCATGCTGGACCAGCAGCGGGAGCTGGCCCGAAAGCGGGAGCAGGAGCGAAGGCGCCGGGAAGCGGTGAGGCAGGGTTCCAGCCCTGGAGGAGCTGGGAAATGGGACTCTGAGCCCAGCAAGGGGCAGAGGTGTCACCCTCGGAGAAGTGGGGCAGGCGGGGAGACCATCAGGTGGGTGCTTGGAGCAGGGTGCCTGCTCTCCCACACCTGCTGGCCTCAGAGCCGCAAGGTTCCAAGGAGTTGGTCACAAAGGAGCAGCTGATGTTGAGGGGATGGGGCAGGCACATCTCCTCTCACTCCCTGACTCCTTCCCTTTTCTTCCCTCCAGATGGCAGCTACCATTGACATGAATTTCCAGAGTGACCTATTGTCAATATTTGAAGAAAATCTTTTCTGAGAGCACCTAGGTGACTTCTGACTTTGATTTTCTGGCAAAAAGTTGACTCTCCATAGTGTTAGGGGCAGCAGCAGGGGCGGTAGCAGTGGCCAAGGCCTGTCTCCAGGCCTGGCCCTCGTGCATGCTATGCCGGGGCGGGCCTGACGGGCAGCTGAGGACTGCAGAGCCCGTCTGCCTTATAGCCAGCCGGACGTCCTGCCACATTCACAGGACATCAGCTCAGAGCACGTCTCACCACGAGCAAGTGCCGGCCAGATCCAAGTCCGCGTCCCCGCGTGTGGGCAGAGGCCCTACTCTCCGCCAAATGTCTACACAGTATACACAGGACATCGTCGCTGCCGCCACCATGACTGGTTTTCTGTCCCCAAGAACGTGACGTTCATGACGTCCTGCCTGCCGGGAGTCCTTCCCCACCGCCCAGCCTCAGCTGCCTGCCCCCAGGAGACCAGGCAGGCCCAAGCAAGCTGGAGGCGGAAGAGGGCACCGGCCCACCCCCTTGCTGGCACTGACTTTGCCTTGAACAGATCCCACCCCTACCCTCCCCCCACAAGCCTTTAATCGAGAGCCGCTCTCTGTAAGTGTTCGCTTGTGCAAAAGGGAATAGTGCCGTGGAGGTGTGTGTGTGTCCATGGCAATCCAGAGCGAGGTGACTGTCACACGTGTGTGGGCCGGCCTCGCCTGGTGAGTGAGGCCACCAACCAAAGTGAGTTCCTTCCCACCTGTGTTTCTGGGTTTGTTGTTTTTTGTTTTTTTTTTTTTTTCTATATATATATATTTTTTGTTGGATTCTATTTTATTTTTAATTCTTTCTCCTCCTCCAAACAGAATGGCACTGCTTATCTCCAAAAAGGCGTGATCCTCTTCTCATTGGGCAGCAGCTGCCACCGCGCTGTGGGTAGTGTGTGACCATGGCTGTACTATATAGTGAAACATAGTTGCATATCTTTGAAGTTTGTTGGTGACTCCACCAACCTGGTATAAAAAAACAAAATCCCACACACGCAAAAGAAACAAAACAAAAAACTGCCTATATTTTACTCAGTTCCAAACTTTATCAGTCCATTTTTAATTATAAAACCAGAAAACTGTTTTCTTTTCCCTCTCAACCCCATCTGTTGGTTTGTTTTTTAACGTCAAATCTGTTTTGAGTTTTTTACCAGAAAAGGAAGGGGTGGGCCAGGGTACAAGGCGGGTGTCATGACCATGGACTGAGGCAGAGGCTCCCAGCCTGGTGCGTGCCCACCCAGTCAGCTGCCACTTTCCCCACTTTTTTTTTTTTTTTTTTTTAATTTTGTAATTGGATCCCTTGGAGAGGTTACGAGTGCCATGAGAACCCACTCTACACCACAACGCTGGTGCCTCAGTGTTGGCCAAACTCGAGTCAGTGACTGGTTTGACTTTCATATGGTGAATATGCATTTGGTCTGTACTGATCATGGAATAAACACATCTCTCTTTTTTAATGCTGACGTCTCCCTGACATTTCTTTGAACCACCTGTTGTCCAGGCCAGGCCTAGGAGTCCCCCAGACCATGTCTGTGTAAGAACTCCCACAAAGGGCCAGCTAGCCCATCTGTGGTCTGTCCCCACCCTCCTGAGCTGAATGGGAGCCCAGGTACCCAATCTTCCCTCCTGGGCAGGTGACATGCTCCAGCAGAACCAGGCCAGATTCCAGACAGTATTCACCCTCCTTCATCCTTGTCCCCCACTCACCAGGGAACTTGGACCGTTTCTCCCACCTTGCCTGCCTCTGCCTAACTTTTCATTTAAGCTCAGGGTTACCCAGATATTCTTAGATAAGCGTACATCCTCCCAACTAGGATCCTCCCTCACATGCACGCAGATGTGCACGCACACATTCCTGCCAGAGAGAGCCCACCAGGCGGCCACCCTGCCTGTGTGCCCGTGAGAAGCCACAAGGCAAGCTCAGTCCCCAGGAGCAGCCCCTAGGATGTAAGGTGAAAGTATATCATTTATGTGTATGCAGAGAAACTAATTGAAACACTTCTAGCACTGTATTAACCCATACCCCCCGTTTTTAACTAGACACGGTGTGTGGTGGTTGGGATCTCCCAGACCTCACAGTGAGGGTGCTGTTTGGGCATGCAGCCAGAGCCCCCCCCTCCCCCACCACCACCCCCGGTGCCCCTGCTCCCACCCTGCAGGCGCTTCTCGTAAGCTACTGTGCTGGTTCAAGTGTGACTGACATTTTGGTTCTTTGGGGTTTCTTCCATCTCACCCCACACCCTTGTTTTTGTTCCATGTTCTGTTCTAAAACTTCCCCAGGCCAGGTCCGACTATTTAGCTGGAGAAACGTTTTGTCTGCACCTTCCTTCTAAAGAGTGAACTCTGCCATGGCCCTCTCCACACCTCCCTCATAGGTGTTTCTCTAACTGGGTTGTAATTAGAACTTGGATCTATTTAATTTCTCTGGCCATTTCCCAATCCCTCCCGCAGTACTAGAAATCTTAGTCCTATACAAGAGTGAGAGGTGTGTACAAGCCCCCACTGTACTGTATGCACGGATCGCTTGGCCAATAATTATGTCAGTGAATCTGAGACTTGTATTAAACACTTTAGACATTTGTAGAAGGGAATTCGTAGACTTTTCACTTATATACTAAAGGTTTTTTTTTGTGCAGTTCTCATTGCAAAAATAAACATTTGTACTGAATATAAAATTATCATCCTGTGATGACTTCTGTCTTTTTGTTGGAGGGTAGAGCTGGGGGTCGGGGGTGGGGATGTGTGAGTCAGTGTTGTGTAGCATAGGAAGAAAGGATGTCTCTAGATGCCCCACCAGCCATGCAGCCAGATTAGAAAACTCGGGGAGGGATACCAGGGTTGTCAACTGGTCAGAGAATTGATTTTATGGCAAGTGTGAAAGACACCAAAGCTATGACACAGGCTGATCATGCAAGAAAGGAGAGGCAGTTACTAAGTGCAGGGAGAACAAACATAAAATACAGGCAGTGTAATCAGACAGCTACCTGCCTGCGTTGTTTACTGAGGCCGAACCATATAAACCACTACTCCCCTTTAAGTAACAACCCCCTTGGACTTAATTGTGGTCCCAGGACAGTATACTGTTCCACGTTGACAAACACAAAGGTAAGGTTAACAGTGGAAGGTGAAAGGAGGGTGGGAGATAACAAAAAAAGAGTAGTGTTTCAAGTTAGAGGATCCGATAGGAAAACTACACCTGGAAACATGTCCATCTGTGGTGGTGACATGACTGAGTCAATACATAATATCCCAAATTGCTAATCGAGAAATAGGCACATAAGCACATTTCGATACCTGGGATACCAGCAGAAAGCTAAAAGCATTCCAATGGCTGCCACCGGGCAGGAGAGGCGGAGCCCAAGATTGCTCCTTTTCTCAAAATCCTGGATTGCTGTTTAGCCAGCTGTATGGCTTTAGGCAAATGACTTAATCCTTGAATTGCAGGTTCCTGGTCCGTAATACAGTAATGTGATAATAGCACCTACACGTAATAGGGTTGTTAATAAGGGTTAAATGGATGACCCTGAAATATTCAGGATGCTGGGGAAAAAGTTACAAAACAAAGAGGAAGAAGCCTCTAGCCCGGCCCGCCCCCGCTTCCGCTTTTGGTCACAGTCCCAGTGACTCAACATGCCTGGTTCTCCGATGAGTCGGAGAATCCTCTACCAATGGCTGTCACCGCCGGAGTCCGAGCCTCAGCACCTGCGGATTCGCTCTCGGACGGGACTCGTTGCCTGCACGTCAAAATGACTGCTGCAGTCCAATCACAGCTGCGCAGAGGCGGGCCGGGGGGCCCGCTGGGCCAACTAGAGGCTAGCGCGGGGTCGAGGCCGCCGGACCCGCCGTCGGAACCAGGGCTGGGTGAAGGCACTGACATATGTCTCGAAGGCGGGCCGAGGGGATGGTCGCGCGCTCCAGGACGGGGAGCTCCCGGGAGACGGCGGCCGGGGCTACCGAAGTTTCTTCAGGCCGTGGCAATTTTCTGCGCCGCTCTTCTTATCTCAGCTGTAACCCAGACTGCCCCCTCCTTCCATTTCCGGTCTCGGGTGACTCACCGTATTGGGGCCTGGCATCGCCTCCTCGCCTCATTGGCCCAGCACTCACTGAGGCCTGCTCCGCTCAGCGTTAGACCCCGCCTTCTCTGGGGTCCGCCGTCTCCCCGCCCACTACCATAAGCCACGCCCCCAAACCCTACAACTCTTCTGAGCCAGGTTGGGTCCACCCTTACGGGTCCTTGAGTGCCCCACACCTTCGCTCCAGGCTCCTCCCGTTTCATTCAGGAGGCGCCCTCTTCCCTGTTAGTGCAGTTGTGCAGGTCCCCAATCTTCCTCCAGAGTTTAGAGCCCAACCACCTGCTGCGGGAGTCTTACTAGACTTGCCTCCTTCTTAAGCCCCACCCACTGTTCCAGTTCCTCTCCCCCCTCGCCCTAAGTCTCCTCCCCATCCTCCAAAGTCTGGTTCTTACAGGCATCACACTCTAGCCTGCCTTTCTGTGGCCGTCGTGCTCAGGTTTTTACGTGCCGCTCAGGTAAGTCGTGTGCGGTGGCAGTTTCGGCCTGAGCCGCCCGACCTTCTCTCCACACGTTCCGCAAGCCCCCGCGGCACGGAGGGACCGCAGGCCAAAGGCGGTGGGCTCCACAGCCCGGACCCCGCCTCTCCGCTGTGGCCCGTGACCCTGGCCGAGACACCGGACGTCAACACGGTCGTTCCGGAACGGGGTGACATGCCCGAGCTGGTGGTGACAGCGCTGCTGGCGCCGTCGCGCCTCACCCTGAAGATGCTTCGTGGCTTCTTGTGGAGCCTGGTGTTCCTCGCGGCTCTGGCGGCCGCCGCCGTCTTTGGCTGCATCGCGCTCGCGCACGTGCTTTGCCGACCCCGACGCGGCTGCTGCGGGCGTCCTCGGCGCACCCCACCCGCCTGTTTGAGCGACCCAGCGCTAGGCAAGCACAACTTCCTGACCCTTAAGGTGAGTGCGCTGGATGCCGTCAAGTTGCGAGGGTCGAGCAGTCTGGGAGGCTGGGGCCAGGGCGTGGAAGGGAGCTAAGCGCAAAATTTTGAACCCAAATTTAAGTCGTTACAGGACCGGGGTGGAGGTGGGGTGGCGGGGGGAATGGGTAGCGGTTTCGAAAGGAGGGTTTCAAATCTAAGGAAGAGGGGTTTCCCAGGGAAGAGAATGTTCCCCCAGACCTCACACTGTGCTTCTTCCAGAGCTCGGGCCTGCGCCTGCACTATGTCTCTGCCGGGGGCGGCAACGGGCCTCTCATGCTGTTTCTGCACGGCTTCCCTGAGACCTGGTATGCCTGAGGCTCAGGGGCCTGGGTGCACAGGACTGGGAGCAGATGGACCTTGGACTACCAGGGCACCCCGGAGGCAGGACCTAGGCTGGGTAGACTGGGAGTACAAAGATACAGGGCTCGGATGGGGTGCTTTGGGACAGATGTCTATTTGAGGACCCAGTGACCAGAGGCCCTAAGGGATGAGACAAAGAGGAATCTTTGTTAACATCCCCTGGGATCCAGGGCTCAGTAACCTCGCCCTGGGCCTGGGGTTCTCCATCCTCCTTTCTTAGAAGTCCAGAGCAGGAAGGTGGGGTCACTAAAGGCCCCCGCTGGGTGTAGGGTGGAGGTACCACTTGGGGACCCTGACTCAACCTCCCTCCCTCTTCCCTCTGCTGGACAGGTTTTCCTGGCGCTACCAGATCCGGGAGTTCCAGAGCCGCTTCCACGTGGTGGCTGTAGACCTGCGTGGATATGGTTCCTCCGATGCACCGAGGGACGTAGGCTGTTACAATATCGACGTGCTGACTGCAGACATCCAGGATATCATCCTGGGCCTGGGTGGGGACATGCCCCTGACTCACACCCCTGACTCCCCTCTCCCTGACTCACCTCTACCTGGTATCTCACTCCAGTTCCTCTTATCCCCCAGGTTACTCCAAGTGCATCCTTGTGGCCCATGACTGGGGTGCAGTCATAGCCTGGAATTTCTCCATCTACTACCCGTCCCTGGTGGAGCGGATGGTGGTGGTCAGTGGTCCCCCCTTGCCAGTGTACCAAGGTATGTCAGGGAGTCCAGGACACCGAAATGTGTCTGTTTGAAGGGGTGTGTGTTTGTGTCTAAGCTTACCCATCCACCAGTCAGCGTACTGGGGGCTGGGGGCTGGGTCCCATCCCCTGTGGCACTTCCAATCTACAATCAGTGACAATACACTTAGGAGTAATTCGCATTTTTTGAGCACTTACAGGTAACAATTTCTCTGACAAGGAACCTTATACAGTAACCTACACCAGCCTCCTAGGATTATGAAAGTGTTATTATCCCCATGGTCCAGCTGGGGAGACTGAGATAGGTTAAATGGCTTTCTTCTAGCAGTGAAGATATAGGTGACTAAGCAACTAAAATAGCATGAGATGCCATCTCTGGCTACCCAGTGTTCATCACATCAGCTGATTTTAATTCCCAGCATCGTAGTCACAGCTGTGTCCTCATTCTCCTTCCCTCTCTCTGTCTCTCTCTGTCATTGTTGTTTCTTGCCTGTCTCCGTCTCTAGATGGTCACTCCCTGAGGGCAAGGGAGTTTTGTCTGTCCTGTTCACTGCTATGTCTCCAGAGTCTAGAACAGGGCCTGGCACACAGTAGGTGCTCAATAAGTGCTTGTTGAATGAAGCAGGCCAGGGCAAGGGAAGCACACCAATGGCTGTGGGGTCTCCCAGGAGCGGCAGAGGGAGATGCCTCCATTCTGTGGGAACAGTGACTGCTCAACAGTCACTGCTCAGCAGGGAGGGGGGAAGCTGGTGCCCGGGTGAAGAGAGACATCAGGTGTCTTCACAGGCTCAGGCAGGCAGCGGTGTGCCTGACCAGAGTGTATATGGTGGCGCAGAGGTGTGGAGCCACCCCAGGCCCAGGCCTCATGTCTGTATTCCCCTCCCCCTAGCATACTCAATGCGCCACATTAGTCAACTCTTTCGTTCCTACTACATGTTCCTGTTCCAGCTTCCCTGGCTGCCTGAGAAGTTGCTGTCAGTGTCTGATTTCCAGGTTAAGAGGGGTGAAGGCCTGAAGGTGGGAGGGAATGGGGTGTGGTCGGTAGGAACTGGGGTAGGTTGAGCACTGAAGCCAGAGTTCTGCTGTGTTCCCAGATCCTGAAGACATTCCTCACCAGCCGCAAGACTGGCATCCCACACTTGAGCCACAATGAGCTTGAGGCCTTCCTTTATGACTTCTCGCAGCCCAATGGCCTCACTGGGCCCCTCAATTTCTACAGAAACCTCATAAGGTAAGACCAGGTCCAGGCAGAAGCTCAGGAGAGTTGGTGGGGAAGGAGGTAGGGGCAGCCATTCTTCTCTCTGTCTGTGTTGGCCATAGGAACTTCCCTCTGGAGCCCCAGGAGCTGGCCACGCCCACCCTGCTGCTATGGGGGGAGAAGGATCCTTACTTGGAGCACGGGCTGGTGGGGGCCATCAGCAACTGCTTTGTGCCTGGCCGGCTGGAGGCCCACATCCTGCCAGGTGCGGGGCACTGGATCCCACAGAGCTACCCTGAGGAAATGCACCAGTACATGTGGGCCTTCTTGCAAGATCTGCTGCACTAGTGGCCCTCGTGCACTGGCCTGTGTGCACCTGAGAGTGCACAGGGCATACATACACAGGTCGTCTCCTGGATCATCCATAGGTGTAGAACTCCTAAGTCACTCACAAGTGCATCTGTAGGTGCCCTGGGTACACCAGTCCGTATGCTCACTCACAAACATGAGAGCAAGCTCTTTGACCTCAGGAAACCGGGGATGCCTCTACTCTGTGGACCTAGATGCTGAGTGACCTCTCTCCTTTTCCTGGGGTCCCAGTTTTCTTGCTGAAATCGGTGCCCCCTAAACCATAAATTCTGACCTTCCTGTCCCTCCAGTCTGGGTCTTCAGCTAAATGCTGCTTTGTACAATACAGTATCGGTAGTCACATCTGGGTACTTTCATTTAATTGCAAATTAATTAAAATTAAATACGATTTAAAATTCAGTTCCTCAGTCACACAAGCAATCTTTCAAGGGCATCAACAATAAAAAGTTATACTGGACAGTGTTTATGAGGGTGTTCCCAGTGTAGCGGGCCTCCTGCCTGGCTTCTGACCACCTCACCAAGGGAGGACCCACCTGGACAGGCAGGTGGGTGACCAGACTCCTCTTCAGCCAGACCCTGGGCAGTGCCCTCCCATGATCACCCAGTCGTGACTGCAGGCCTTGAAAGATCAAGGTCTCTCATAGCAGCCAGGGAAAGATGCCTGGGATCCAGTCTCAGATCCATGGGGAAACATCTCTTAGCTCCCTTACCATATATGAAATTTCTTGGGCCCAGGAAGGGACCAGCTTTCTGAATGGTCATCTGGGGCCTGAGGCCTATTTCTCCGGCTCCTGGAATCATCTCCATAGTCACCAGTTTCTGTTGATAATTTCTGGGGGCCCAAGGCTCCAACATCCCAATTAGGATGGTGCAAGTCAAGGGAGGACTACTCAGCCCCAGACAAGTCACAGCATCAACTTCTATCCCCCCCCCCCCGCCACCACCACCACCTTCGCCTGGCCTTTGGGGACAGTGTCATGGCCTGCAGCATGGTGAATCTCTCTGGGGACCCAGCAGACCTCATACATACATTCCCACCTCTGGGATGGGCCTACCTGACCAAAACCTGCCTGCTGGTCAACCCCTTCTGCCCTCCGTTGTCCCCAGTATATGCTTTCACTCATCATGTGTTGGGCATTGTTCTAGGCACATGCCATGGTGTGAACAAGGACACAGCCTCATTCTGGGGTTATCAGAAGAAGCATCAGAACTATGTGTGAGACGGGGTTGGGGAGAGACTTCCCTCGCTGGGTGGCGGGCACAATTTTCAGGAGTGGGGAGCAGTAAATCAGAAGGTGGGAAGCTGGAATAAGCTCGGGCTACTGGAGTAACAACAAGGAGATGTGTGGCTGCTGCAGCAGAACAAATAAGGAGACAGCCAGGTCTAGGAATTTGGACTCGACTCTCGAGCGGGCGGGGGGCGAGGTTCAGCAGGAGAGGAACATGGCTTGCATTTTGAAAAGCTCCCTGTGGCTGCTGGACAGTCCCACGCAAGAGTGCGAGCGGGACTCGCAGCCTTAGCACGAGGCGGTGACCGGAGCTGGGACCCTCGGCCAGGGCTGGAGCAGTGCCCCGCTGGGGGCCCGGAGACAGGCGGGAGGAGCCGGGGGCGGAGGTCGTGGGCGAGAAGGCCTGCAGGCAGGAGCAGGACGGTGTGTCAAGGGGGCGGTGGGTCGGGCGACGGTTGCCAGAGTGACAGGGCAAGGGCTGATGGTCGACCGGAACGGGTAGCAGTTGTCTGGGTGACCGGAGGGGCCCTGGAGAAGGCTGACTGGAGGCCTCGGACAGTTGCCGGAGCGACGGTGTCCGCGGACGGTTGCCAGGGTAACGAGAAGGCGCCGTCTTTCGCCTCCGCTGCAGCCGCAGAGAAGCAGGGGCGGGGGTAGGAAAGCGATGGCGTTGATTGGGCAGAGCCCTGAAGAATGAGCCACTAGCGACTAGCGGCTCAGCCGGGCCCGCTTCTCCCGGCCTCAGCCAATCCTGGCGCGTCTTCCAGCCAAGGGGCTGGAACGGGAGCCGGCGCCCCGAAGGCTTGGAGTGGGGCCGCTGGGCCAAGGGCTCAACTAAGTTCGGCCGCGCCCTTTCCCAGCTCAGAGCTCCCGCCTCCCCTTCCGTCATTCACTTATTCATGTTTTCACTCATTCAGCTGTTTCTACCACCAGCTCTAAGCCGCTAGCCCCGCAACAGAGGAGGGGTGGGGACGGAGCCGGACACAGAAACTCAGCCTTGTGTGCTCAAGCCCAAGCGGATTGAAGAATTTGGGAGGGGCACATACCTAGGGGTAGGGGAGGGAAGGCTGCCTGGAGGAGGAGGCTGTCTTGGAGCTGAACCCTGCAAGTGTGTGTTCCCATGCACTGATGATTTAGCATCACCAGGAGCAAAGTTTGGGTTGGGAAGACAAGCGATTGCAAAGTACTTCAAACTGCAGGGCAGGAGCTTGATCCCTAGCGTGATGGGGGCCAGCAGGAGTGGGTCCCGGACAGATCTGTGTGTCTAAAACGTCACTTGGGGGCTGTTCCCCTGGGGCAGGGACCTAGAAGCATCTAGTGGGTTAAAAACAGATGGCCCAGTGGGGCAGAAGGGCACTGAAGCTGGGTGAGAGGATGAAGTCTCCCCAGAACGGAGTAGGGGACAAGACTGGAGACTGAGCCCCGGGTGCCCCCACTATCTAAGGGGCAGGCAGAGAAGAGAGAGACCACAGAAGGAAGAGGGGAGGCAGGCAAGCACGGTGTCCCAGCAATGGAGAAGGGGAGTCAAGGAGGAAGGGCATAGTTCCTACTGTCAAAAGGCTCGGAGAGACCAAGAGGACTGAGCCATGCAGGTCTCAGGGGGGGAACCCTAGGGGTCGCTGAGGCCAGAGGGCATGGATGCTCTGAATGCAGTTAAGGAGGGATAAGGAGGGGAGTGGGGACCCCACTGAGGAGCCTGGAGGAAACAACTGGCACATTCAAAAGGGGTGATTTGACTCAGGTTTGCTACAGGGACCAGATACATGGGGCGGGGTTTGAAGAAACCAATGGGGAGAGAACCATGATCTCCAGGTTCCTTGGACTGGGCAAGAGGAAGGAAGGTTAGCAGAGCCCAGCAAGAGGTGTGTGTGGACAGGGCCTTTAGTTAAAGGACACAATCAACTAGGTGACCCTACCAGGAGGATTAATATCCCATTTGCTCTTTTGACTTCTGCCGGTACTCCTATTGGCCAAACCCACCTGCAAGTCAGAGGACAAGGCTGCCATTGATACAGTCAGGAGAGGTCAGCCTCTCGGGGCGTAGAGTGGAGGGGTAAATGGGGAAGATGGAGCCAGGGCAGGGGGAGGAAGGGGGAGATGTGGTGACAGAGGCAGAAGCTTGGAGGCTGCGTGAGACATATGAGATGAGCACTCGCTGTGAATTGTTCTTCCTCATGGAAGAGATCTCAGCTTATGGCCGAGGGAGGAGGGAATGAAAAGCCCCGAGGGTGGAGGGGGCATGGAGAGGGGCTCCCCTTCTCTGAAGCAGGAGGGACGGCGGAGAGGACAAGTGCCACACCTGCAGAAAGGAAGGTTAAGTTTCAAGAGCCAGGGAGGCAAGGACAGAAAGTTAAGGAACATCAGAGCGTCATGGTTCAGAGATGAGCGGGAGATGAAGTCCCAAGTGAGCGCTTTGCCATGGGAGCGGGCTGAGCCCAGGGCCTGTGAGGGCGAGACAGCCACTGGCTGTCTCACACAGTGTGGAGGATCCTAAGGCAGGGAAACGGCAGCGGCCAGCAGGGGCGGGGAGTCGCTGCCCCTCTCCCTGCCGAGAACGGCAGAGCTGGTAGGTGCTCCAACTGAAGTGAGTTTCCGTCTCTCTCTCTCCTTTCTTCCACATTCAGCTCTCACATTCTCTCCTCCTCCAGGAAGCCTTCCAGCCCCCAGCCCTTCCTCTGATCCAGTCCTCATCTAATGGGGGTTGGATGTGCCTGTGTCCACACAGGGCCATCTCAAGAGCTGGCACTGGGCATAATCAGGTTCCAGTTCCTGGGTGGTACTTTGCTCCAAGATGTACGGGGCACAGTCATTTGTTTGTCAACTGACAATTTTTTTTCACCCACTGCGTACCGGGCTCGATGCTAGACATTGGAGATTCAGCAACAAACGAGACAGATGCCCACAGAGCTCAGAATCTCATGTGGGAGCCAGGCAAAGTCACATGGCGGGGTGGGAGCTGAGATGGAAAGGATCCTGGGAGCCAGAGGAGACCGTGTGTAGCTGCAGGAAGGCTCCTTGGGAGAAGAGGTGGCAGAACTTCCAGAGTGATCTTTTACAACTTCAGGTCGGCTTCCCTTGGCTAAAACCCTCTAGTGGCGTCTGCCGTGCTTGGGACAGAATCCCAGACCTTTCAGCCCCTTGGGACTTGGCCCTCATCCTTGACCTCCCTCCCCTCGCTCACTCTGCACCCAGCACCCTGGCCTCCTCGCTGTTCCTCTCATCCACCCTGCCCTTCTTCCTTGGGCCTTTGCAAATGCTGTTCCCTCTGCCTGGAACACCCTTCCTCTGGCTGTTATTCTCATTCCCTTTCCCCTCAGGTCTCAGAGCTGATGACCGTCTCATCAGCAAAGTCGGACCACCCCCCACCAACACTGAAATCTCTCTCATGTTGCCCTCGATAGTTTTTTATTTGTTCTCCATCTTGTTTCTTGTCCGTCTCCTCTGTCAAGGCAGACGCTTGCTCTGTGTTGGCCCTCTCTACCTATATACAGTCGGGCCGGACACCAAGAAGGGACTCAGTAAGTGTTTGTTGAGTAACTGAATGAAGAAGAGATGGAGGGGCAGAGAGAGCTGTCAGGTGAAAGGAGCCTTCTGTGTATGGGAAGGGAGCTTGCAGCAGTCGGCGCAGCCTATGCAAAGATGGGGACAGCTGGGAGACAGGGGAGTGAGGCTGGGAAGACGGGGAGGGTGTCACTCTACACAGCGGGGAGCCATGGAGGGAGAGAGCCCTAGGGAGGCGGTGGCCAGGAGACCTGGCTGGGTCTGCGGCCTGCAGCCCTGCCCTCCAGCCACCCCTCTCGTCCAGCACCCACCCAGTCGCCCTCACCCCTGCTGGTCCTGGTTGGACTCCCACAGCCCACCGCCTGGGCAGCAAGACCTGCCGCCAACTTCCATGCAGAGGACGGGGCTGTGGTCCCAGGCAGAGAAGCCAAGGACATATTCTCAGGTTCCTGGTCACAGGCCTGGGCCCAGCAGCTGTGTGTTGGCCTGGCCCCAGGTCACCAATCCCTGGGGACTGACTCATTGAGGAGAAATGCAGTCCCCAGCCGGGGCAGCCAGCAGGGGCAGAGGGAGGGTTCGAGCTTCCCCTACCCCCAACACATTGGGGACTGCGCAGCTGCCCCTGCAAGGCCGTGGGAATAGTCTCTTCAATGTCCTGTCCTCAAGGGATCAGGACACCTTGGGCTGGTCCTGTC